CACAATTCTTGCTTCTGTTATTACCTTCCACACTAGGCTTCTGATGGTAATCATGGGTTTGCTTAGCACTGTGAAGTTTCAATAACATTTCAGGAACAGAGATGGGTATGAACTGCCAATTCAGCAGTTTAACAGGCACCTACTCAGAGGAGGTACGGCAGGGAAACTGCCTCCAAGTGGGCACCTGCCAGAGCAAGTGGGGCTTTGAAGTGCCAAACACCTATTTGGCCAATCAACAAACTGGCATGAACCACCATACCAGCGGTTCATGCCCACCTCTATTCAGGAACTAAAACACTGGCACAGACCTTTGGTTCCACTGAATATTTTAGCCTGAAACTCCCATCAGCTCCAGTCAACAAGGCCAGAGATAATAAACTGTAGGAGCTGTGGTAGAGATACAGTTGTGAGGAGGTTCATAGAAGGTAATTAGAGGGCTAACAAATGAAAGTCCTGTTCTTTACCAATTCCTAGAGCTGAAAATCGACAACATTCTGCGTGCTGTCGCAGAATGCCAAGCCCTAACGATGCTATTTGGCTGTTCCCTGCCACATTAGCTGCTGAATGTTTTATTTGCATCTTAGTGTGTTTTAATTTTGTACAGTATGCCAATAAAGGTTTTTATCTATCTGTCCATCAACAAGAAGGATACAATAGTCTCTTAGTGTGTTCTCAAAGGTATATGGTGTAGACAATTTGCTGAAGACTATGGGTCTAATAAAGGTATCTGTCTATCTGTCCATCTCCTGTTGATGGACAGATAGGGATACAATAGTCTCGTAGTGTGTTCTCAAAGGTATATGATGTAGACAATTTGCTGAAGACTATGGGTCTGGCTCGGTGTAGCGGATAGCCCAGACATCACCTTTCCATCACTGAGGAACCTTGATGGGAGAGCCAAAAGACAGACCAGAAGGCAGGGGCCATCTGTCTATCTGTCCATCTCCTGTTGATGGACAGATAGGGATACAATAGTCTCGTAGTGTGTTCTCAAAGGTATATGATGTAGACAATTTGCTGAAGACTATGGGTCTGGCTCGGTGTAGCGGATAGCCCAGACATCACCTTTCCATCACTGAGGAACCTTGATGGGAGAGCCAAAAGACAGACCAGAAGGCAGGGGCCAGAGGAGTTGGGAAGAAGGAGAAAGAGGGCTGGAAAGAAGGTTAGAGAGCTGGAGGCTTGGGAATTTGGACCAGGAGGGTCAAGGATAGATCGTCATCGTTTAGTCGTTTAGTTGTGTCCAACTCTTCATGACCCCATGGACCAGAGCACCAAGGATAGATAGGGAGAGTTAAAAGAGTGATAAGAGTGATTTGAATGAACCAAACCTTGTTTAATATATGTGATTTGCTTCCTGTGATTTATACTGCAGTTTCCAACTGATTATTAACCCCACCCTGTTTAATAAACTGATTGTGTTTGGCAGCATACGTGTCCAGTACTTATTTGATGTTAAAGAAATAACATCTGGTGGCAGCGTGAGGAGGAGGAAGGAGTGTGAGCCTTTGTGAGGATGAAATAAAACAGGGGCCACAAGGGTCTGCGCCACACTCGTACCATGAATGGAGTCCACCAGAACCGGAAAACTACATGTATGGCACTCTCCACAGTGGACCAAAGGGTGGATATAAACATTTTAATCCAAGAAATACAAATAAATTCCTTACTTTTCCATGGGTTATCAACAGCTAGGGAGGACAGCCATCCACCATCCATCTCTGGATAGACCATGGTTCATGTCACCCCTATTGGGCACAACTGGAAGTGATTGAAAAGTCACTTCTGTTTTCTCAAGAATAGTTTTTGAAACTAAAACAAAGAACAGGTGGGGCAGCCTTGTTTTAGAAGCGAAACACATGCCCTATGGGTTTTCTTTCTCTTTTTTTTCTGAGTAAGGGAATAATCTGGTGTCAGTAAAAGCACTGTTAGGAGCTGCCTGAAACTGCTGAATGAGTCTAAAGACTCCTCTAGCAAGCAAGCCAATATGATTAGAATAGCTACAGTGCCATTTCAATACTCAGCAGATAAAGCTGTATATTTTATCTGTGTTGCTGATTTCCAGGTCTAGGCAAAGAGAAAGAATGTACACTCCCATTGGTTAGTCATCTAATCTTGTTAGTCCATAGTCTATAGTAGTGTATACCAAAGAAAAATGGCTCAGTTTTTGTCCCTCTTCCAGAAGTATGCTGTAGAAGTCCCTACTCATAGTTGTCATCCCAAATGCACAGTTTTTAAAGAATAGCAATAACAACTCGAACTCAGTAGCTCACCAGAACAATGAAGGCCATCTTCAATATATCTCACAAGGCATTCACAAAAGTAGCTGCCTTCAGTATTGATGCACCTTGACAAGCTTCGATTGCATCTGTCCATGCTGAAAGTACATTCATCAACATCTACAAGGCAAACAGTATCAAAATAAAATGAAGGTACTAAGTTGTACAAAAGGGCAAGCACGAAACTGTCATAGCCAGGTAGAATAAAAAGTCGATTAAAAAAAAACCATTTTAACATTAAAGTTCTGTAAAGATACGTACTACTGTATTTGGACTACAGCTTACAGAATCCCCCTACTCGTGGGGGATGCTAGAAGCTGTAATCCAAAATAGGACCTATTCCAAACTCTGACTAAAGTCAACTACGAATGAACAAAGCCCAAGTTGTCTCTGAAGAAGCCACACACTGTCACAGTAATTGTACATTTCAGGACTATCCTTGCAAGTCCTTTGCTAATTTCGCTCATCAGTTCAAATGGACCCACTAAGCTCTTCACAGCTATTCATGGAACAGTTTTGTCATTATGAAAAGAGGCAAATGCTGCAACAGTTCAGTATACTTAGGCTAAATATTCCTGAGAAATCACTTGCCTCTCTGCATCGCACTGCAAATGTTAACAAGGGGCAAACTTCATTTATTATGGTTGCTACAGAGCTGTGAAACTTCATTCCGTTGAAAACATGTCAAAACTGAATAAATATTTGGAAGCACCAAAAAGCATTGGGATTATGCTTGGTGGTGGTTCAAATTTGCATTTAGTATGTTTCTAGATTACTTACTTTTTTGCTTTATCTCCTCATAAACCTATGAAATGAGTACATCTACAGTAAATATATTCTTTATTTGAATACAGTATATGAAAATGTAAATATGAATATTTATGTAATTGAGCTTACTATAATTAACCACATGGGCATGTGAAAGTAAAATTACCATAGCACAAATTGTCTTCCATGGTGAACCCTGTCTGGCATTGACAAGTAGCACCATCTTTGTTTGAAATGCACTGGGCATTGACATCGCATCCCAACCATGTACAAATATCCTGGTCTGTGGCAGAAATAACAAACAAAATGCATCATTTCCATTCTCCAGAATTGCTCAGAAATAATCCATTGGTTTGAAGAAGCTGATTTTAGACTCATTAGGTAAACTAGTTAATTGCTTTGGGCAAACTTTCAAAATGTGATTCTACCGTGTAGGCTGCTGACTAGCATTCAGACCATATTCATATATATGTACTGTACATTGCTCAGTGGCAGCTCTGTGGGTTTTCACAACCAGGTTATTCCTATCTTTGTCTTGGAAGGACTATATCTAGAACTAAATTCTTGCAAAGTTTTTGTCACTGAACTTAAACCTCAACCCACTTTTAATACACCTGGTGCTCCCCAGGTGTTTCAGGCAACAACTTCTCTCAGTATGTGGCAAGGAGGCTAGTGACTCCAGTTTCATGGGTGCAATAAATCCACTCCAGTTTTTAAATCACAACTTTGCTGGAGCTATGTAGAGTGCTGAACCCTGGGTCCCAAATGGGCTTCACATTGACCACTCTCAGTATAAATTGATCAAAACAATCACTCTTAGCAATCTGTCTGGTAACATTTGGCATTGCATAGCCCTGATTTGCTACTATGAAACAGGAAAGGGTAATCTTTACTGGACACCACAATTTCAGCAGTCAGCATCTGTTTCATTTGCAGCTCATCTCCAGTGCTGTGTCCATATGCATTGTTACTCAGAGGGTGTTGGTAGAGGGTTCTGAACTCTGATGTTTTGTTTATTGACAGACCATTCTTCAGCATGAACATATAGCCTGAAACAATAGGAAGAAGAGAGCAAGCGAGGTTGCACCACTTAGCATTTCAAAGCAACAATCCAAGTTTAGTCATGAGTGACTAACTAAGCAAATGTCACAGTCAGAGTTTTGACAAGTGTTGCTGTTGTTGTTGTTGTTGTTCTTGTTGTTGTTGTTCAGAAACACCAGGCACAGTCAAAGTTATAAAAACATTTACTGGCATTATATAACAGATACAAGTTTTAACCAAAAACCTAAGTATCTGTTAAATGCAGTATGTATGCTGTTCCTAATATTGCCGGGGTTTTTTGTAGCTCTGATGGTGTGATTTCTGAGATCTGCAATTGCTTATAGTACTGTATAAAATTTCTTGATATTGTTCCCAAAGCCCCAATGACTACGGGGACCATTGAAGTGTGTTTCTTCCAGAGGTGAGATGTTTCGACTGGCAGGTCTTTGTGCTTTGTTAGTTTTTCCAATTGTTTATTTTCATCTCTGGCATCCCCTGGAATTGCAATGTCCATGATCCAGACATTTCTTTGTTCTATTACTACTATGTCTGGTGTGTTATGTTCAAGGTGTCTGTCCGTTTGGATCTGGAAATCTCACAAGACCTTGACTTCCTCATTTTCTGACACCTTCTCTACCTGATGTTCCTACGGATTTTTGGAAGCTGGCAAGTTACATATTTTGCATAATGACCAGTGCACTAATTTTGCCACTCTATCATGTTTGTTTGTTTGTTTGGTTTTTGTTTTGGACAATAACTTCCAACATTTTGATTCTGTGGGGTTGGAATCCAACTTATTTGCTTTCCAATTTCAAACAAAAAAGGAAATGGGTAGCTGTCTATCTTTTAGGCAAACTAGTCTAATAATAGTGGTAAGGAACTACATTTCTCACTGTATATACATTTGGTTAAGAGAATCCCGTCTAACAGTCATGAAATTAAGAATTTTTAAATATGTTTAATTCAGGGTTTACACAATCTTTGTGCTATTGTTGAATTTAATGTATTGCTACTTAGACTCCACTCCCATTATATAAAACAGATGTTCAGAACATTTAACCATCTAGCTGTTCTGGACTTCAATTCCCAGAAGTCCGAGCCCATGTGCCACCAACTATAGGGAACTGCAGAAGCTGCTTCAAATTCATACGAAAACATGAATTTAATATATACATACAAACAGTCCAAAGGTTCTCCATCTTTTATTTAAACCATTCACCAAAAGCTCCTAGCCAATATATATGCCGTACATCTTCAGTCAGTCTTCAAAAAGGTTATTGAAATAAATCTCATAAGACAGCAGCTGCAGTGTGTCACCCCTGAAATTTACCTGGTTTTGCTAAAGGATGAACAACAGTCAGTGACGAGGGCCTCAGCATGCTGCCTCCAAGACGTATCCTATTTTGTCCTGTCGACTTGTCTATTCTCAATAATGAAGGCCTACTCCAGTCAGAGAACCAAACATTGTCCCCAAACACTGTTATGCCAAATGGATGACCTAAAAAAAACACAGATGTTTACTCTTTGTGACCCCAAGAACATGTTTATTGAAGGACATCTCAGTAAGTATACATATAAACATCTGTTCCTTTTGCTTTATCACATAATAAAGCAAAAAAATTTTGGAACGAAATACATACATGGCTTGTTAAAATAATCAAAAAACATGTAGATTTTAGGCCAGAGCTCTTTCAGTTAGGTATAATACCAGAAAGTGTTGATAGACAGAATGTATATTTAATACTGTATATTCTAACAGCGGCGAGGATTATTTATGCACAGTACTGGAAAAATGAAGGAACACCTACGGATCAAGAAATAATTAAAAAGATATTGGACTGCGCCGAAATGGACAGACTAATTTTGAAAATCAAAGGAAAAGAAGATACAAAATATTATCAAACATGGGACTTATTCTATCAATGGTTTGAAGGATGTTGTATAGATTAGGAGTGTAATGTGTGTAATAGTTGTTTTACAAATGATTATAAGCTGTACCCTGGTGACACGATGTTAAATCAATATGGATAGATTTATATAATTTTAAAAAATGTTAAAAAAAACATCTGTTCCTAATATATTTATGCTGACATAACTCAAAACACTATCACAGTGTGACAGGAGGACCCATCAATCACTGAGCTCCAGAGGTTGGGAAAGGTGTTGAAGGTACTGGATCACAAAAAAAAACCAGTAACCTGACTAGACAGGGGATTTTGAGAGTTGCAGTCCCAAAAGGCTCTTTCTTCCAGCTCTGTTTGGGCTTAGCTTGTTTTGGATCTCTGCTTTGTAGCATGCTATGGACAAGTTTATCAGCTAGGCTGACCCTGCCTTAAACAGACTGAAGCAAATACTGTATCAGGTGGAAGATTCTGGCTGATAGCAGTGGCATCACTCAGAGTATTCTTCCTGAGCCCCACTCCCTGTTACCCTCTTGCAGGTCCGAACTCTGGCTGGCAAACAACCAGCCTATGCTCCCTGAGCTCATCTGCTGCCCTCAGCAATGGCAGAGGATAGTGGCCAGTCACCAAGATCAGCAAAGATTCAGAAGATAATCCAACGTGCTTCTGGACATGAAATGGGAAGAACCATCTTGTTCATTGCCTTGGTCAAGACAAATGCCTTGGGCTGGCACCTATGACCAGCATGAATTTGAATACATAATTGCAGTTTGCTTGCTTGCTTGCTTGTCTGTCTGCCTGTTTGTTTGCTTGTTTATACCCCTTCTTTCTACTCAGAGATAGCCCTCAAGGCAGCTTTCAAACTTTTGAGAAGAATAAAAACAGGGGGGGAAATCACATTTAGCTAAAAGAGTAAATCATGAAGTCATGTAAACCAGCCCCAACATAAAACCAATAAAATTAATCAAATTATTTAAAGCAATTAAATTCAACAAGGATATTGTTCAAAACAAGAGAGCAGGGCAGACTTATCATACACCTAGCTAAAAATATGTGTTTTCCTCCTTTCTTAAAATCACTCAGAATGAAAACAGAGCACACATTGGAATGGACAGCATTCCACAATCTGGAAGCTTCATAGAAGAAGACCCTGTACTGTGTTCATGTTAGGTGGGCCTCTTGTTATTTGCAAGAACATCCTTAACAGGAAAGACACAAGGTGGCAGTAGCGCAGCAATAATAAGACTTGCTTAAGTAGCACTGCAAAATACTTACATATGAATGGCAGTGCTGAGCCAAATGTGGAAGGATATGTTTAATGCACATTTGCTCCTTTGTAAAATCATGCCCGGCTTTTCCAACATTTTCCACACCCGTATGTTTAAAAAGTGTGGAACTGTTTTCAAGAAGTAGGGATCAGATCATTAAACTTGGAGAACTTTGTTTTGTAGCAACACATTCCTAGGTTGGATAATACCTTTGCTGGATCACTAAGAAGTTACAAATAAGATGAGCTTTCAAGTTCTCCAGACCTCTTCATCAGGCAAAAATGGTATAAAATCTGGATGAAAGCAAATGGTTGAGAAAATTGAGCCAGATGTAATGCCCTTGATTCATAATGCCAGGCTGCCAACAAAGTGAAAGGGAGCTCAGATTTCATATCAAAGAGATGTGACAAAGGTATCAGTTAGGAATTTCTCCCTACTGTGCAAACTAAAGGATGCCCCTCCCCACAGATCTCCCAGTTTTTTAGATGAAGCTACACAGGCCACTTTGCAGGTTTGTGAAGGCTTTCTTTTTATATCCGCAAAATTGGAGAATACCTCTTCGTAACACATTAGCCAAATTAGCAGTCATGCCTAGTAGAGTAAAGGTGATGGAATCCTCACTGAGGTTCAGTCTCATGAAAAAGCCTCTTCTCATGGCTGTGCTATGAACAGCTGATGACAGCATTTTCAGCAATAAACAGGGGAAAAGGCCGTGTGATTCATTTATGTTAACAGAGCCCAAGGTTGGGTAATAGTTTTACTGGATTACTAAAACTTTACAGATAAAAATTTGAGTTCTCTGGAACTCTCCATTGGGCAAGGATGGTATAAGACCAGGTTAAGATAAATAGTTTGAATAGTTCCCATTAATACTGTTCTTATCTCTGTCTCTGTGGAATGTAAGCTCCTTTCTGTTTGTTGGCAGCCTAGCTTTATGTGCCAACAGCATTGGATATGGCCCAATAGTTGAACCATTTGCCTTAAGCCCGTTTTACACCATCGTTGCCTGATGAAGAGTTTTTCAGAACTTGAAAGCTTGTCCTATTTGTAACTTCTTAGTGGCCCAATAAAAGTATAGACCAACAACAGATGTAGTTGCTATAATGGATAGAGATGCGTAATACCAAATATTTGGACTACAAGTCCCATAATTCTTCATTTTGGAAGTTTCACCTGGCAAACAGACACCTAGATGCAGCTCACTTGGGTGAAAGGCCTAAGCTTGGAAGTTCTGTGTCTTCACCAAGCTTAACTCCACCCAAGCTTCCTGTTCATAAAGGAGGCTTCCAGCTATAGTTAGAGCAGCTTCTTTTCTGAACAGGGAGTTTGTGTGGAACTAGGTTAGATCTTTATCCCAGGTGAGTCGTATTTAAGTTCTGTAGGTGTCTGTCTTTCGGGTGAGACTACTAGAATGGAGAGTTGTGGGATTTGTGGTCCAAAACTTCCGAATGGTACACCCCTAATGATGGATTACATAGTTTTTCGTGGGTTTTTTTTTTGTACTACATGTCCCAAAATTTTCCCAGCCATGGTTTCCCAAGCTCTGTGCATCCCACAGACAGTAATTGTGCTGACCACAAAACATTGGCTCTCTGAAGCAAAGTGCAAATGTCCCCTTCCACTTGATAGGGTTAACACTTCCCATCTTTCCCATCTCTGTGTCTTGTGGTAGCACCAAATGGATTTCTTAATAAATAAGGACTTCTTGTTCTTAAATGAAGGTAATAGGCAGAGAGGTTTCCATTCACGTAGGCCTTTCAATTTATTGATAAGCCACCACATGCCATATTTTTAAAAGAGTAGATTGCATATACTAAAAAATTGTTTGATGTACAGGTTTTGGAAATCAGGATAAGACTGTACTTTTTCTTAAGCTGACATCTTTGTAGATTCAGCAAGGCATTTATTAACTTTTATTAGTCAGGCTTCCACTAACATTTTGAATGTGCATTTATCATCACAATACTGTCAATCCCAGAGTCTCACCTACATCATTCTGTGTGAGGATGCGCCGTTGAGAACCATCAAGATTTGCCATTTCAGTCACAGACTTCTTGGCATCACACCAGTATAGCCTGGCAGTGAGGTAATCAATAGTAATTCCACTGGGCCAGAGCAAGTCGGAATGAACTATTGTGAGACGATCAGAGCCTTGCAAGGAAGACCTTTCAATCCGTGGATTCACCCCTAGATCAATCCAAAATAGCTCCCTTTATTGAAGAAAAACAGATAAAGCACCATATAAGTCTTTGTCTGAAAAACCACTTTATCTTGGCAGTGAAAAGAACATATAAACCACTGGTAGACACAATAGGATTTAGTCTGATGGGCAAAATTGCCTTTTGTTGACTAAAAGTCCCAAAAATCAAAGTCAGCATGGCTAGTGCCTTTCTAGGGAATTCGGGGAGCGACAATGCAAACAAGAATATTTAGAATTTCTCCAGGGAAGTGACATATAAGCAATATTGGCAGTGTTGAAATCTATCCTTTCTCCTATGACTATAAAACCAAAACAAGTCACCAGACAATGTTAACACTGAAATTTCATGTGGCAATGTCCTAAATAATTAGGCTAGTCTTTCATGGGATGAGTTCAATACATAGCCTTAAAAAATTCTTCATGGTCAAACAAGTAAACCCACATTCAAAACTGGTATGTCATTACAAATCCATGTTAACACAGCAGCAATTCTTAAAGTTTTCTTTACCACATGCCCCCTTTAAATATCTTTTGTTGCCACAGATCACCAAGAATTAACTCAAGATTTAAAACTCTTAAAGTGCATCAATTATTTATTTAAAGCTTCTCATGACAGGTCTCATCGACAAATATTCCTTCTTATAACAGCAAGTTTTACACAAACAAGGAAAGGAAATTAAGATTTTGTTCTACATTTCCTTTTCTTTCTTGCTTGCTTGCTTGCTTTCTTATTTCTTTCTTTCCATTTTAACTGCAACCGATCATAACATTTCTTTAAGACTTTGCAGACCCTGGTTAAGAACCTAGGTAATACAGTTTCCAAGGACTAGAAACATTAATATATTATTTACAACCAATAATCTATTTTGGGGTATGCTGTTATTTTTTAAATATTGCAACATGTATGAAACATGACCGTGTGGGTGTTTGTTTTCAATTATATTATCTGCTTTGAGCAGCTAAAGGAAGACAAATACCAACACTAAGACAGAGATAGAGAAGGACCCAAGCCTAAATAACATTTTATTATTCTTTAAAATCTCTTCTCCTGGCTTCTTCAAGCTGGTGCCTTCCATATTAATCAGTTGACCATGTTCATGGGGTGCTGGGATTTGGAGGGTACCAGGCTGGGGAAGCCAGTGATGTACCATCAACTCTCCGTTTCAAAGCATATTTGACATCTTACTCCGTGAATGGGTGAACAGCAATTCCTTGCGGGTGAGACAAATCCTCCTGGATCACAATTTCCCTCTCCATTCCATTGAGGTTGCTGCTTTCAACGTGGGCCTTCCTACAATGTGTACACAAAAGGAGGTGGATTTCTTAGCAAAGCCATTTTACTCCATGTATCGAAATACAGGATTCCTGTTTTGGGGTTAATTTTGGGGTTAACTTTTGGGTTAATTCACTTTCCTTGCTCTGATTCTGATTCTTTGTTTTATTTCTTCCCAACTCTTACTGAAATTTGATCTTCTTCTCAATACCTTTCTAACATGAGTTATTAATATGCCTAAGTATGAGATCTTCTATTCAACTGTTATTTTGTACACACTGACCTGAAGCTAGTCCTGCTGGATTTAGGGAGGCTTACTTCTAAGTAAACATTTCTAAGACTGCACATTGTTAAATAAGCCACTGTCTAACTACCACAACTATCATATGGGGATAATAATACTTCCTTATCTGAATACATAGTTATAAAGTTACCTGCATTGAAGGCCATTGTGACCTTTCAAGTCATGACATAAATACATGGAATTATTGCTATTTACAAAGAATACAGTTTGCCATTACATTGCTTCAGAGCAAACTCAATTGATGGTTTTTTTAAAAAACCATTTTGCTACTATAGCTCAAAAAGTTTTCCCTTTCTTTGAAGCTTCCCAGAACTGGGAACCTGCAAAGAATTCAGAGAACAGAGGGAAATAATAGGATGGACAGATCACGTGGTGTGTTTTAACTTCCAGCACTGTTTTCCTTCCCTCAAAAAAGAATAGACTGGCTGTTCAAGAAAGGCACCGCCTTACATGAATAGTTCTATCTAGCATAAGGTAAAGGTAAAGGTTCCCCTTGACAATTTTTGTCCAGTCGTGTCCGACTCTAGGGGGCGGTGCTCATCCCCGTTTCCAAGCCATAGAGCCAGCGGTTTGTCCGAAGACAATCTTCCGTTGTCACATGGCCAGTGCGACTTAGACACGGAACGCTGTTACCTTCCCACCATGGTGGTCCCTATTTATCTACTTGCATTTGCATGCTTTCGAACCGCTAGGTTGGCAGGAGCTGGGACAAAGTGACGGGAGCTCACTCCATCGCGTGGATTCAATCTTACGACTGCTGGTCTTCTGACCCTGCAGCACAGGCTTCTGCGGTTTAGCTCGCAGCGCCACCACGTCCCTTTCTATATAGCATAATATTCAGCAAAATATCCAAACCTTTGGCACTCGGTAGTGGCGTTTTCCGATACTAAATTCTTCTGCTTTGCTTTACAGATACACAGGCAGGTTGGCATTTCAGAGTGACATTCCCATCACTCACATTTTGCCAGTCTCTGCTTTCCCACCATGTTTCATGCTGGCATTAGATAACCCATATGATCTGTGAGAAAGGCATACCCAGGATCAGTCCAATACAATTTGCGGTTAATCCAGTCCACAGCGAGCCCTTCAGGTCTCTGGGTTGCTTCGCGGATAACTTTTTCTCGATCTGTGCCATCCAGATTAGTTCTCTCTATCCATTTCGAAGCTCTGTGGGCAAAATAAATCTGTAATGAGAAAACAGAAGGTTTATAGCTGATGATTGTACTTCTAATTTGCAGGTAGGATTTCCTTATCTCATGGCTTTACCTTGCGCAATGAGATCTCTTTTCAAAGGGAAAAGTAATGGGGTTATTTACAAAATCATACCCATGATTATGGATCAAATAAGCAAGCACTTATCCTTCAACCAGAATGACTTCTACAGCCTGAGCAAGCTTAGCCCGTAAACCCAAGATGCCCTATATAGCAGCTCCTCAAGATCCTGTGTTTCCTTTTCAGCCAGGCAGCCTATAATACAAAACATGAGCCATGAAGCATGTCCTGTTATAGCACTAGATCTCATTTTGATTTTCGGATATGATCAATGATAGGATCAATGAGACAGATAAGACAGAAAAACAGTGTCTCTAAAAGCAATGATGGCCCCCAGAGCATGACTGTTATTGTTCACAAGGCTTGATTGCAGCATGTTTTTTTTTCTTTTTCCAATAAGAGAAGGAATCCTAAGACAGTTTCTAAGGAAAGCCAGAGATGACTCAGCGCATGTTGTTGCCTGAGGCAGAGCGTTGAGTTATCCCCTCTGTCATTTATCTAACTCAGTATTTATTGTACCCAAAGCCAGCCAGGCTATGCTACGACATGAGGAAGAAAATCCCACAAATGCCCCTCCCCTTCCCTAACAGTAATAAATACAACAATAACTAAACATAAGTAACTAAAGTTACTAAGCCTTTCCTGCCATTTCACAACACCCCAGGTCTGCCACCTGAGGCAGCCATCTCACTCCCCCAGGAGTAGACATAACACTGAGGCTCTTAATGTGCATGTCTGGTCATTTGCACATAGGAAAACAGTGCACACAGGAAAATATACCACCCTCTGTGTAAGAGTAAAATTGCCAACTCAATCATATGTCCCTTGGCTCACCTTCACTGGCTCCTTGTCAGTTTCTGTGATCAATTCAAGGTGTTGGTTACAACCTGTAAAGCCCTTAACCTTTTAGGACCTCAATCTCTCTCTCAAAGATCAGCTACCCATGTCACCCGCTCCTCTCAATTCATGTTGCTACAAATGGCCACACTGAGGGAAGCCAAGGAATTGGGCCTTCTCGGTAGTGGCCTCCAATCTTTGGAGTGAGCTTCTAATTGAGGAATGCCAGGCTTCTTCATTTCTGATATTCACAAAATTAGTGAAGACAGAATTATATAAAGCTTCCTTCAACAACTTATTCCCTCCATGCTATTAATATTAATTTTTAATTTTTTTCTTGTTTTCTTTTTCTTTTTGTATGAATTTTAGACTGAGCTCCATGAACATTGACTGCATTGTTATACTGTATGGGGTCATGTGGGTTCTGAGTTTTAATGTCTAAACCACCCACGTTAGTGTTTCTTCAAAAGAGGCGGCATACAAATCAAATAAATGCCCCAATAAATAAATAAATTCCCTATGCCCCATTCCAAGCCCTCTCTCATATATGCAATGAAAAATAGAAATGAAGGAGACTGTTTTAGCTGTATTATTAAATAATTTGCAAGAATGTTTCAAAAGCCACATCCATCAAAATATAATTAGGTACTCAAGTATCTACCAGGCAGCACTGTTCTTTGTAGGGAAATCACTTCTGCTATAAAGATAAAAACCCTCATTATGCTTATACACATATTGCTATACGTTTTGTTCCACTGTATAGCATGGAATGATGGACTTTAACCCATTAATGTGTGTGTTACACATACATGAATCCTAGAAAAAAAGATAGAAGCATTTGAAACGAGAATATAGAGCAGGATATTAGGTACTTCCTGAATTGAGACAATGACCAACAATGTGGTAATAAAGCAAAGGAACAAGTTTGGAAAAATAACTATAAATGTATGGCACATAAAATGTAGAAAACTAGCATACTTCAGTTACAAAACTGAAAATGAATGTATAAAGTCCTACAGCTGATCATTCTGTATAAAATTAATGGGGAAAATGCATGAAGGATCAAAGTGCATAGGCTGAAATCCTTATGCTTGGTATAGCATGTTGCTAAAGTAAGTCACAACTAGAGTTGTTGTTGTTTAGTCATTAAGTCATCTCTGACTCTTCATAATTCCATGGACCAGAGCATGCCAGGCCCTCCTGTCTTCCACTGCCTTCCGAAGTTTGGTCAAATTCCTGTTGGTAGCTTCGGTGACACTGTCCATCCATCTCATCCTCTGTCGTCCCCTTCTCCTCTTGCCTGCACATTTTCCCAACATCCCAGTCTTTTCCAGGGAGTCTTCTCTTCTCATGAGATGGCCAAAGTATTGGAGCCTCAGCTTCAGAATCTGTCCTTCCAGTGAGCACTCAGGGTTGATTTCCTTCAGAATGGATAGGTTTGTTCTCGTTGCAGTCCAGGGGACTCTCAAGAGTCTCCTCCAGCACCACAATTCAAAAGCATCAATTCTTCGGCGATCAGCCTTCTTTATGGTCCAGCTCTCACTTCCATACATCACTAATGGAAAAACCATAGCTTTGACTATGCGGACCTTTGTTGGCAAGGTGATGTCTCTGCTTTTTAAGATGCTGTTGAGGTTTCTCATCCCTTTCCTCCCAAGAAGCAAGTGTCTTTTAATTCTGCGGCTGCTGTCACCATCTGCACTGATCATGGAGTCCAAGAAAGTAAAATCTGTCACTGCCTCCATACCTTTCCCTTCTATTTGCCAGGAGGAGATGGGACCAGTGGCCATGATCTTTTTTATTTTATGTTGAGCTTCAGACCATTTTTGGGGCTCTCCTCTTTCACCCTCATTAAGAGGCTCCTTAATTCATCCTCACTTTCTGCCATCAGAGTGTTATCATCTGCATATTGGAGGTTGTTGATATTTCTTCCAGCAATCTTAATTCAGGCTTGGGATTCCTCCAGTCCAACCTTTCACATGATGTATTCTGCATATAAGTTAAATAAGCAGGAGGACAATATAGGGCCTTGTCATATTCCTTTCCCAATTTTGAACCAATCAGTTGTTCCATATCCAGTTGTAACTGTTGCTTCCTGTCCCACATATAGAGTTCTCAGGAGATAGATAAGGTGGTCAGGCACTCCCATTTCTTTTAGAACTTGCCATTGTTTGTTGTGCTCCACACAGCCAAAGGCTTTTGCGTAGTCAATGAAGCAGAGGTAGATGTTTTTGTGGAACTCTCTGGATTTCTCCATAATCCAATGCATGTTAGCAATTTGGTCTCTATTTCCTCCACCCCTTTGAAATCCAGCTTGTACTTCTGGGCATTTTCGGTTTGCATACTGCTGAAGCCTACCTTGTAGGATTTTGAGCATAACTTTGCTAGCATGTAACAACTAGAGTAGACCTATGGAATCAGTGGGGATTTGGTGAGTCAGCTACTCTGCATGTTTCATTGATTCAAATGGGACTATTCTAATTATGACCTACTTCAGCATAGGAAATCGTAACTAGAGTGGCCCAGTTGAATCAATGGAACTTATGGAGAAGTTGACTCATCCAATACCCACTAATTCAATGGCTCTACCATAACGTGACTAAGCAACAGAATTTCAGCCATTGGTTGAAAAAAACTAGGAGACTGGTTTGGATACAACACAACATCATTGCATAAAGTGACTACATCCAAAGTCAAAATAGTCAAGGTGAAGTCTAGCTTCCAGTAGGGAAGGCAGAAAAAAGACCTTGGAAAAGTTACCTTTTTTGACTACAGTAACAGTGGCAATCTTGGCTAACAGATTGTGGATTGTTATCCAAAAAAGGTAACTTTTCCAAACTCTTTAAAATGTGTAGAACTAAAAAAGGAAATAATATATAGGTCTAATCCGCCAGAAGCTGTTCACTACATTTAAACAATGAGACTAATGATAAACAATTATATCTCAGTCAATAGGATTGAGTTGCTTTATGTACCTTTTCACTGGCTGATAGCTCAGTGAGATAAGGAGAGGTTGGGAGATTTTAATTCCTCACTGTGCCTCCTGAGAGAAGCCTAATGAGCCTATTCAGACCAGGGGGAAGTGAAACCAACGTGGAGGATATATCAGGGATCTCCTACCAACTCTCCTCAGACTGAAGAAGCTACTTGGATGGGTAGTGAAACATTTCCACCTAACAAGAAAGAAATCCAGTTGCCATGACTCAGCTTCCAGATGGATGACTGAGAATTTTCACAGATATCAGTGAGATTTACTCTGCTGCAGGAGAGGTTGAGATTGCAGCCTTATGCTTGCTGAACACATTGCATGTTCATCATTCTCATTTTTACCTTTAGGTTCCAAGAACTTTGGGTGGCTAAAAAGTGATCATACACCTTTCCACTAAAGGCAGTGAATTAAGCAACAGAGGTACAATAAAAACTCTGGGAAATAATTCTGACATCTAGAATTTATAAACATTAGCATTTATAAACATTAAGCAGCATGGCCACTAGTTCTGCTGGCTCTGAGATTCTGGAAGATGCAATCCAAGAAATTAACACTTCCAAACTGTAAGCACAATGGTTCTTCCAGCTAAATGTTATAGTGGGGCATGTTCCTGTTTAGTTAGTCAACCACCAATTTACTAAATTCCTCTTCCTGAGCAATCAGTCAGAATTCTGTCACACCCTTGGTTCTTTTGGCATTTCTCCACCTTAATTCATTTTCTCCCTAAACATGTGGATTGTATTTGTTTTGGTGTTTTGTTTTGGTTTTGTTTGTTTATTTGTTTGATTTGGGGGGTTGGAAATTTTTTGCTTTGCTTTGTTCTTTGGTACTTCTGCAAATCTTGTGATTTCCTCAAGCTTTCTGAAGCTTGGGCATGGATGGTTGGCTAATTAAAAATATCACTCTAATAATGCTAGTGACACAGATTTGGAAATGGTAAGTACAACATACATGTCACAATTGTAGTAAGTCAGACTACCAATAGTAACTGAAGAATGTCATGCAATAGTAGATGGGTATCCAAACGTCCAGAAACACAAAACAACTGTTTCAAAAAGGCCTTCAGTGTAAGGATAGCAGCTCATCTATTTTACAAGGTACCAGTAACCAAGAGGTTAATTTGCAAAGGAGCAAAAGCCATGTGTCCTTGCAACACTTCAAAATCCGCTCTTTCCTAAATGCCTCACCTTATTTTCAATAGGGTCATAGTCCAGAGCTAAGACTACTCCCATCTGCCAGTCGATTATACGTGAGTAATGTGTTCCATCAAAAGCAATGCGGCGGATGTCTTGGTTGTTTGCAAACAAGAGAAATGGCTTGGGTCCTGTTTGGGACAAATTTCAGAGCATGTTAACTCTTCTCATCCTATAATAATCTCAAGATAAAAATATTTTAATGTAAACAGGCAAGTTAAAGGCTATAATCTTCCTGTTTTTCTTCCTTTTGAGATTTGTTTTTTTTATTAGTACAATCATTAAACGTAACTAAATGAATTACAACGGAGACATTATAATGAAGGGCAATAAAGGGAACAATGTAAATAAATGTGACATCCCACTTTTAAATACTGTATGCAGCTGTGCATCTTATGTTGTCTGCACTAGCTTTTTCAAAAGGGGGAAAAGGCTTTTCTCCCCTTTGTTCACTCGCAGACATTTTATACTAGGCCTCTCCCATTAACTGAGGTAGAAAGAGTATTTCTCTTTCACCAAAAGGTGAAAGAAATCTTCAAATCAAGAAACCACCTCAACTGACTTTCCTAAAGAGACATCCATCTACCATCTTGGAAAATTCACAGTCAAGCTAAAAACCCTCTTGTCCATTTTCTCTCTTATTCCACGATAAAACCAGACTGTATGTCTGTGTTTTGACCTATGAAAAGAGTTACCTGTATATTGAAAAAGATTATTGATTTAATTTTTGTTACTTTAGTTTTCACTTGGGAAAAATCAGTGTTGAACAAGTTGCAAAATGCTTCAGAGATGAGTGAGATAAAAGGACTGTTACAATTGTCAGCCATCTGATGCTGTGCCCAGCCATTTCAGCTCCAAACTAAAACTGGTTTTCTCTGAGCTTGATCCTAAAGAGTCACAGTGTTGTCCACCAAGAAAGTGTTCAATGACACTTCAGTGCTTTTAAAAACAAATGATGAATGTTTGTGCTTCAGCCAAAGATTATTATGACACTAACCTGCAGCAGTGCAATGTTTTTCATCCTCCTGGAGATTAAAACCAGGAAAGCATTCACATTTCCAAGTTGTTGGACTCAAAGAAGTGCAGATCTGGCTGCAGCCACCATTATCAGGAGATGTACAACCTTAAACAAATTAGAAACACACCAATGTGAAAAAGCAGAACCAGTCTTTCTGGAGCATTATTTACTCAGAGCTTGGAAATTTACTTTACTATCCATGTTCTTGATTTTCTGCCTCCCCTACTGCATGTGAGAAAGGCTTCAAGAAGAAGAGACTCTTACAAACCCCCAAACACAGCCTGATTCTCAAGACGGCTGAGTTGGGAAATTCAGAAGATCCGATTTTGGGACATGTGGTACTGTTTAAATATTTTTAACTCTTTTATAGTGTTTCCCAAGTATGATTCAGTCGTACTTACCCACTGTATTCCCAAAACACAGAACATAACATTGTTTAGGGCATTTCCAAGGGCATGTTGTGAGTTTCTGCTCATCAATTGAGGCTAATTTCTAGAGATTAATTCCTCCATAGGTTAAGGAAGTCTATGGAGTGACCAGCTGCCAGCCGTAGTTATTCTTTGCTCCTACTTATTAGGAGGCCTTGGCATTGCAGAAATGGCATTTCTTGCTCAAATGTGCACTTCTGCTTTCATCATCTTCTCCACAACAGTTTCTTTTTTTATATAAAACATAAGGATGTTGTTAATCCCTGATTATGACATGTTTTACTATGGCTGAGACTGTAAATTAAGAGTGAGAATAGTGGAAATAATCCATATATCAATTAAATACTCTTCCCTTGAACTTCAAAGATCCTTGAGAAATAAACACTGGAGTTAATATCCTACTTAGCATTTATATCCGTGTGAAGCTCCAGTTGTGGAAGATGCTGTGGAGATCTGCTGAGGTTCCAACTGAGTATAACCAGTCACATGAGCTACACTTTCTAGTACCGTAGCAAGTTTTGCAGGTGGAATCTTATGTGCATAAATATTGAACAGCATACTGGCTTGGAATTCTGCTGGTTTTAGGGAGTTTATCCAATGCTAATAAAACTGAACAATGAAATATCTTTGCACACCTAGCTTTCCTGGTCCCAAAAGAATGGAGCCAAAAACTGGTCCACTGACTCAATAACCATGGAAAGAACGATATTTCTGGGGGACAGAACATGGGAGAAAACAACAGAGAATAATGATCTCCTCAGAGGCAGTGGCTGGAACCCTACCCAGGATCACTTCCTTTAGGAGGCAGAGCACACTACCAAATTTTGATGAAACTCCCAGTGCTTGTACAAATTGAGATTTTCTTAAGAACCAAATTGTATGTCATATGGAAATAAATCGTTTAATAGAAATGCTACCTTGGGGCAACGGATTTTCAGCAGAGAAGCAATGGCTTAGGGGAGATTCTGGGATCCTGCGCAGTGATATGCAGTTGCTGGGGGAGACATTCAAGTTGCAAAAGATGGGTTAAAAGCACCCAAAGCTGTTTCTACATGGTTTGTCTAGGATATTACAGTGGACCCTCTACTTAAGGAATTAATCCGTATTGGAATGGTGGCTGCAAGTCGAAAAGTCTGTAAGTCGAATCTCCATTGACCTACAATGCACTGAAAACCGATTAATCCCATAACCAGTGGTTTTTATTCTATTTTTATTCCATTTTGGTTTTTTTCTGGTCTGTAAGTCGATTCTCTGGCTGCAAGTCGAATCTAAATTTTGCAGCCAGAGAAGTCTGTAACTCGAAAAGTCTGTAAGTCGAGGGTCCACTGTAATTTCAAAACATGCAACTGTGTGTAACATGTTCTTTGGAACCCAGAAACAGGTTTGGAGAAAACAGTTGCATTCTGGCACTCCAAAATACTGTACTTTTGCAGTAAGATAGTTGAACAGTGCGCACATGTGCACGCGTGCACATGCGCACACACACACACACGCACACACACCAGATAGAAGAGCAAAGTAGTGTTATTTCAATCCCCTTCGTGGCATACAGTAGAACTGATGTGCAATCCTTCATGAGAAAAAACTCTAAAGCATTCCAGCAGATACTGAATATCTGAACCGCATTTTATGACACACCAAGTGACAGTCATTTTCATGCTGCAATATAAAATGACTTTGGATAATGAAGTGCTGAAACCCAATGATCCTGAAACCTGTCAAGAAGGTGCATTATGTTTTATTAAAATTTTTATTTTTAAAGCTGTATCACATGATAAGCAGATGTATTTTTAATATAACTTTTTGCCCATGTGTCCATACCAGAAGATAAAATTGTACATTCAGGCACCTTAAATAACAGATCTGTTCATTCATCACACATAGCTGTTCACTCAGCATTTGCTATACATCTTACCTGAACCCTTAGCACAGCTTCCCGTGTAAGCAAGCAAGTGAAGAATTCCACACTATTATTCACAATTCTCTGAAACTTTGTGTGGCATGTTATGTGCCCTACATACAAGAGTTGAGTTACTACTCAACCTCAGAAGACTAAATCCAAGATCCAGTGCAGTATAATGGCTAGCATGTTGTCTTAAGACTGGGAAAACCTGGGTTCAACCCTCCCATTTATGACTCATGGATGATGAACGTTCAAACATTCTTTCTCAGACCATTCTTTCTCACATAACCTTGTAGGGTTATGTGACTACGGGGAAGTAGATCAATACCACTTCTCCTTTATTGGAGAAAAGCTAAAATATAAATAAAAAGAATAATAATGATCAGTTGGTTCCAGGTGTGCCGCACGATAACAAAAGAGTTTTGTGGCACCTAGAAGACTATGAAATTTTACTGGGCATATGTTTTTATGGACTCTGTAACTCTGAAGAAATGGGTGAATGCCAAATTAAATTTATTAGTCTTTAAAATTGCACAACACTCTTTGTTATTTTTGCTGCAGCAGATTAACCCCCTAAAAAGCTATAGAAGTCTACTCAGAAGTAAGTCTCATTGATTTCAATGAGGCTTATTCCTAGGCAAGTGGGTATACATTTGCAGTCTCAGACATGTTTTGGGTAGAATCATTTAAACCAATGGGACCAGTTATTCATTACTAGTCTAAGCCACATTGATTCCAGCCAGCTTACTTTATGCATGAGTAAGTCTGGATGCAATCCATCATCACCATTATCACTATTATCAGCTGCAGTCTCTGGTCCAAAGAGACTTGGAGGGCCTTCTCAAGGACCTCAGGTCATGGACTTGGAGAAGCCCTGTAATCTGTGGACAAATTGACTGCTTTGCCTGTCCACCTTGACAAGACAGAGATTCTAAGTATTAGAGGGATAGCATATGTGAAATGGCTTCATATTCTTAGGAATTCTTTGGAATTTTTATTCTTCTTTGTGGCAGTTACCAATCATGGCCCTCCCGGTATAGCCACTCAGCTCACTCTACCCTTATTGTCCTCTGTTGGGTGAGCCCAGGGAAGAGTTAGGTGGAGACTATGGAGCCTGCCTAAAACCTACCACTAAGAGTTGCCAGTTACCAGCGAGTTCCAAACAAAATCTACAAGGCTAGGCATTTATAAACAAGGTGCTTCCCTTGCAAGGGTACAGCTGCCAACACACCCACATGAACACCAAAAATCTGAGTAGCTTAGTCAAGGCAAGACCTGGATTTAGGACCACAAATCTTCTACAACTAAATCCAGAAAACAGCTTGAAAGGATTTTTGTATTTCATGAAAGAGAAAAGAGAAGGTTTAAAGGACAAATAGCAAGCATTCTAAAAAGTTACAAAAAAATTTCCCAAAATGATAGAACACAATACACAGACAGTCTAAAGGCCATTCAAGAGAAGCACACCAGAAAACAACAAAAGCTAAGCAAAACTACCTAATACTCATACTTAGCAGGCTGGTAATGTAGTTCTGTGACATGCACAGCTTTGTGGGGCAGCAAATGGACAAAGTCTCCTCCTTCTGAGTTATACTGAGCCATCTAGCCACTTCTCCTAATTTTATACATTAAATGAGCTATCCCAGATCTGCTGTAATCAACATCTTAATCCTCTTTAATGTTTACCCCAAACAAAAGGACCTTCCTTTCCTTCTTCCTTTCCTACAGCTTTAATTTGCATGACTCAGGGGAAGGAAGCAGACTGGTGGTTGTTGTGGAGTCCACTCCCAAGCATACTACACCAAAGCACAGAATGCTGTCCTCTGAAGATGCCGGCCACAGAGACTGGTGAAATGTTAGGAAGAACAACCTTCAAAGAACCCGAAAAACCCACAACAACCATTAGCTCCCAGCCGTGAAAGCCTTCGCGAATACATTGAAGCAGACTGGCTTTTCAAGTAAAGAATTAAAGTGGGAGTGTTAAATCCCTTTTGATGCTACTTTGAGGTGCTCTCTGGTAAGAGATAACCATGAAGGTAGCAATTCCCTCTCAGTCCTTCTTTGAATTGTTCATTAACAGGAGGTCAACTGAAGGTGTTAATTGTCCTTTTGCTCAGAACTGATACAGACCTCAGTCTTCTCAGCCAGCTTCCCAGGCACTCACAAAAGAGCCTTGAATTTTCTAGTAGATGGTTTCTATGTTCCATGCTTCCCAGTTTCTCAGTTTCTTCCCATCCTGTTTTAATAACAGTAGTCTCAACAGCCACATTCTGAGGGATAAGATTTAAAATTACAAATACTTCCTTACCTGAACATGTCCTTCTATCTGCTTGGATAACTGAACCTTCAGGACAAAAGCAAACAGGCCCTTCAGCTGCCTGGTGACAGCCATGGCTGCAGTGAATGTAATTGCTGGTACAGGGTATTAATTCTACAGGAAATTTAAAAAGGAGAAGAAACAGGTCAAGACAATGGAAGAGAAGTAGAGCTAAATAATAGTAAAAATGACTGCCAAAAAATGAAAGCAGGGCTAAACTTGTACCTGACTGTCAGCAACCTACTTAACATGTGATAAAAGTGTCTTTGAGTGTATGAAGAGTCATTTCATCCCTAAACCAAGTGTAAAATGGCAAAATAATAACAAAATGAAAGCTGGACAGAACATTATAGAAAAAGGAAAAGAATAAATTCATGATTCACTAACCAGGCTGACCAGGGGAAATCCTATCCATGTCCCCACCTGTTGAGAATCAAAGGAGCGAGGCAGCCAGTGACATAAAGCCATCTTCCATGTGACATTCCTTTAGACATTTGAAGAAAGCTATTATATCAGCTCTCGATCTTCACATCTCCAGTCTGTCCAACTCCATCCCCTGTTCTTCATAGGGATTGCTTTCCAAACCCATTACCATCTTGGTTACCCTCCTCTTAACACTCTAACTTGTCAGGTTAACTACAATCTACAACAGCCAGTGGGAAATGGAATTTCCCAATAATAATATACTACTGTGAACTACCCTTGTTCTAATCCAAAGTACTTTAAATGATCTTGAAATGGATCATCAACAAAGACTAGCACTGGAGAATGGATTCCATAGCGGCCATGCTTAATGAAGCATATTAAACACATGATTGCTATGGAGTCCAGTTCCATGTACAGATCTTCTGCCATGGACAAAAGTTATACCATGATGAAAGTCTAGCCTAACAATGTATTCTTGAAGGCCTAACAGTTTAGAACAGCTTAGATCAAATCATTGGTCTCCACATGTTACTATAGTAGCATTCACTATTGGCCATTCCCTCTCCCATTGCATGCACATGACAGCAACTGTCTCTACCCATTCCTTTTGAGCTATAAGATGAGAGAATATTCTCCTTCTAGGCTGTATGACATTTTATTCTACAGCTTGCTTTTTTGCAGAGCCACAAAGAACCATATGGAGACATCTGCTGAGATGGATTCTAAGACCAGAACAAATTAAGGTTGCCCACAGCTGTTGCCTGGAATCCATGGTAAATAGTGGCTTTATCAGCACATAACAAAATATAGTGAATATTCCTCATGGAAGGCAACAACCCTGACTGTGCAGTCATAAGCCTATTTACTCAGAGGCAAATCCCAGTAAATTTAATGAGATATATTCTTGTATAAGAATTCAAAGGACTGTAGTCTAAGCTTCCTAGTGATATTAAGGCCAATTTGTTTTCATAGCTCACACAGGAATATAGACACAACCTAGGAGCATAGACAACACCTGAAATCATTCCCGTGTTGTTCTGTAGCTTTATCGATTAGCCACACATTTAAGGCTTGCCTTGTCCATTACTCAGAAAAGCAAAGCCATAGTCTAGTTCTATATTTAAAAACCAATCATATTCTCTTAACCTTATTGAAGCTGTTGTTTGGCTAGAAAATCTACTGTAGTATTAAAGAATTCCAGAATATCCATGGTTAACATTTAGTTTCAGTAAGAGCTGTACCATGCTGCTATCTCTACTCACAAAAGCCTGGATCTGAACTAGGGTGCAGAGACTGCTGGGTGCAGAGAGGGGAGAAAATTAAGTCTTTCCCCTTCCTGCTTCCCCCGCCCCCCAAGTACTCTTCCCCACCCTCTCAACTCACAACTGCACACTAGAAAATTAGCATAACATGCAGTAAGACCCACAGAGACTGCAGAAACAAAAAATACTACCTTGTAGTGAGTGAGAGCATTGATGCATTTAGCTTAATGTCAGGCCAACCTATTATATATGCAAAGAAGTAACTTTCCCAGGATTCAGTGGGGCTTTTATTTGATAGGTATGGGTACAACCAAACTGAACATATATGCCATTATTTATTATTTTGCTCATAACTTGTAGATGCCAGGGTGCTGGTGGATTCTGTTACACAGTCTATTTGGAGTAGACTGTGTAACAGACTGCAGCTCCCAGAAGCCTTCATCACTAGCTGTGCTAGCAAAGGTTTCTGGGAGTTGCAGTCCAAGAACATCTGGAGACCAAAGGTTAGAAATCACTGTCCTCGGCCAAAGCTCTACAAAGAAAAATTGCACAAGGTGTTTCCATATGTCTGGCTGTCTTTCACACAACTGAACATGCACCTACTTTCACAACTGCTGTGTGCCTCATCACACAAAGGACAGCCTGCCAGAGGAGGGGGCAACACTTATGTGATTTCCCCTTCTGCACACATGCAAGTGAACAGAACTTGGGCCCACATATTTGGGGCCAGCTGCTACTCACCATGACAAGTTTTGTTATCAGGCAATAGAATAAAATTTCTTGGACATGTACAATAATAAGAGCCAGGGATATTAACACAGCCTAAAGTGCAGCCATGGTTCCACAGTGCACATTCATTGATATCTGATGGAAGAAGATGAAAATCAATTATTTGACATATATATGGTGTTACAGCAATCTTGCTAAATGCAAAATCCCTAGAAAAATTAGTGTCGGTCAATTATGTTACAGCCATGTTATTCCAAACAAGATAATACAACCGTTTTACCACTATGGAAACCTTTTGAATGTTATGTTTCAAAAACAGGCAATGCGTAGATATGGCGGGAGGGCAATTACAGATTAATTGGAAACCTTTTGTCTGAAGGATGGAAATTGCCAACCCTTCTGCCAGAGGTGGGGCATGAGACTATGTCCCAGGGCAGCCTGCAGTCTCAGTGTCTTAGCACAGACATCTGCTATGGCTTTTGAAGACTTATTTCCAATTTATCTATCCATAAAAATTGATGCATAAGCCTGAAAAAGGTGGAATTGCATCCACGAAAGCTTGCTGTTTCTTCAATTTTCTCTCTTTTTTTTTTTTTAGTGGTCTAATAAACATACTGCCTGCTCTTGCATTTTTTTTTTTTACTCTTGAGAACCACACAGCTTTTTCCTGATTTTTTTTCTGCATTTCTGATGGTATCTTTAGGGAATCAAAGAGGAGTTATTGAATATGCTTATTTCTCCACAGAATGCAATTGTTCAGTTATTCGGCATAACCTTACCTTCACAAATTTTTCTATTTTTACTTAAGGTAAACCCTCTCATACATTTACATCATCTCATCTTGGAGCCTTGCTTGCAGCTGCGTGTCTTGCAGTTTTCCCTGTTTGAAAGACAGGTTCTCTGTGCTGGAAAAGAGGATTATATCAGGATAAAGAGTAAGCTGTAATGTACCCAGTTCTTATTTATGTAGTTATGATCAGCAGGGATGAAATACAGTTTCAAATGCATATATTTGTAAAACTAGTACACCTGCTGTGCATGTCAGCATTTTTCAGAAACAGCTCTGCTTTATGGCAGTACTTATGAGTTCAGCCCTAGTCTTAATGGCAGTTTTGCATTGTGAGTCAATTACAAACAGGCATTACCCATAGCAGTAGAGCTGTTGCATAACTAATAATCAGTAGAATCTATTCAAGTCAAATGGAAATGGGGGTTGTACTCAGGGGCAGCATGCTCACCATGAACAGAAGCCTTTTCTGTGAACAGTGTTCATCCACTTACAGTCTAGGATCAGGGCCAACCCAAGAATTCATCAGGGCAAGCCAACCAATGCAATGTATTTTGAGGCAGACTTGGTCTTGAATGGGTACCGTATTTTTTTGTGTATAAGATGCCCCCATGTATAAGACAGCCCCTTCTTTTCTAACACAAAATTAAGAAATCTAAGCGGGGCTTAGCAAATGTAGGGCAAAAAGGACCAAAGTGCTGCAGGATGGCTTTGATCCCTGCTTTCTTCCTTTGTGCTAAGCCCCACGTGGTTTAGCAAAAGGAGGGGGGAAAGGATCAAAGCAATTCCACAACTGCACAATCATTTTGATCCCTTTCCCCCTTATACAGCCATGGGATTGCTTTGAACCTTCCCCCTCCTTTTGCTAAGCCCATGGGATTTAGCAAGCAGAGGGGAAACCCGGGATCAAAACAATCCCGCAGCACTTTGATCCCTGCTTTCCATTTGCTAAGGCTTAGCAAGTGGAGGGGAAAGCAGGGATCAAAGCCCTGCAGGATCACTTTGATCCTTGCTTTTCCCTCCATTAGTTTTTCCCCCTCAGCTTACTTCTGTGTATAAGATGACCCTCAATTTTAGTATGAAGATTTTAGAAAAAAGTATAGTCTTATACACAGAAAATATGGTAATTAAAACTCATTGGTTTCACAAACCATCTAATCTTGGTAGACTCGAAAACTGTTAAGACTGATTTGTTAATATACTGTAGATCAAAACAGTTGCAGTGGCATAGGCGGGCAGGGGAGGTTCCCCTTGGCACAAAAATTTTAGAGGGTGCAAAACCGCTACCCTTTTCTGGCCCCTCATGGTCTGTTTAGTTGCTGGACTGGTCCAGGTGACCCCGTCCATCTAATCTAACTCTCCCCCTCCCATCATTGCTCCCTTCCTTGCCTCCATGCATGGTGAGGCTGTCGGGCAGGCAGGGCAAGCCAGTCACCCTTGGCCTGGCACACATATAGTGCAAGACAACAAATGACAGTAGACTGCCCCAATGAGGAGAGCAAGTCAATAGCCTCCGTCCAAGAGCCATTCCCAGATCCAGTGGAGGAGGTGTGGCAGTTGCTGTTGCTGCTATGCAGCCAAAGCCATGCAGGCTGGGCTAGGAGCATCAGGACTGTTCCCATCAGGAACAGAGAGGGGAGGAGGGGCACTGTAGAAAGCAGCAGGACCATGGGTTAGGGCCACAATATTTGCTTTCCCCTGGGTGCTAGGAACTCATGCTACACCACTACACAGCTGCCTGGAAATTAGGTGTGTCCTTGAGAACATGGTTAATGGGACTGTTGTGATGAGGGCCTACATTTCAAAAATTATCACTGCACCAGTAAGTATGTTACAAAGCTTTGCAATTTGTTACAAAGTTTTGCAATTTGTATCTTGATATTGCTAAAACAAATACATTACACTAGCAGTGTGGCCAACATCATGTTTTGTATTGTTGTTAAACAGTCTTGGCAAGACTGTGACAGTGTGCTGATGGGAAGGCAAGTAAAATTGTGTGAGACGTCCCAGTGTGTTCTGTAACAATCAAAACACTAATCTAGTGAAAAGGGAAATACTTAGAATGAAAAGCAAAATTTGAACTTTACAAGAACCAAATAGCAAAAACACTTTCTGCATTGTATGTGAAAAGTTTGCTAGCTGTCATTCCCTTTTCCACACAATGATAGATTGCCCGCTTTATAAAAATCCAGCATTTCCATTGACTTAACTTCTACAGGATATCTAATAAGAGCTTACATGATTTCATTCCCAGGTTTCTCTTGCTGTAAGATCTCTTTATAAATCTCACTTGTACTTTAGACTAATTAGCCTTCCTTCAATCCAGTTTCTTGGACTGAATAAGCTAAAGAATGCACATGCAAAGTCTGAAAGGTTCATATGGATTGGGCAGCTTAATCTCCTTTCCACCCCCTAAATATTTTGTAAGACTTCATTTGCAAAAAAAAGAAAAAGAAAAAAAGAGGGGAGGGGAGGGGAGAACGCAGAGGAAGACCAGCATCACAAACATTCTGTGTTCCTACACTTCGCTCTGTCTTGCTGCAAAAGGAAGGTTCTGGAGATAAAGCATATTTTATATATATATAAAAAGCAAATTAATGGCTCTTGGAAAAGTTACTTTTCAAACTACAGCTCCCAGAACCTCCCTTCCCAGGCATCAGAGATATGATGGCTGAGAGTCCAAAAAAGTAACTTTTCAGTCTACTATTAGTAAAGAAAGGAAAATGTCTCTTTATTTCAACACCTTCATGCCATGATAGGGTGAAATGTTAGGATAAAGAATCACACTCACTTTGGAACTGAGTCAACAAAATACTTGAACATGTGCCCACATGAGGTTGGGTTCACTTCATTCCTGAAATTCCATGCCTTTCTGTTGGTAACTGATATAACCTTTGTTACTTTCAGCAGAGCTTACCTGTTTTCCCCAACATGCAGGCAGACACGTACAATGCATAGTCTCTCCTGTCCACATGAGCACCACCTGAGGTTAAATTATGCAAGGACTTCTAACTTGAGGTCAGCTGATTGCGTCATCCTTTGCAAAGGGCGGGCACCTTTGCTACTGCCCACATGCATCATTATACGTCTGCACACATGCAATCACTTAGCAGAGGTCATATTTTCAAGGTAAAACTACAGCTGTCATTCCTTCCAGTGGAAAGTGGATAGCCTTTGAAAATACAGGCCATTCCATAGGCTTTATGTACTTCCTCCTGTAACAAACACTGCCCATTTTCCCCAGCATATCTTTATCACTTTTTCTTGCTACATCTATTTGAATGCACGGGGGTGCCCAAATGGAGTAAAGAATCAGGTTCATCCAGAGCAGGGAGGGTGACTATGGAGCTTTTCAGTATTATCATTTGTTAAAAATCTGCCCCATAACAAAAGGTGATTACAAACAAAAAGGGCTATACATGTGTGTGCCGCACACACCATATTAGAAAACTCCGGTATTAGAGTGCAAACTCCAGGCATAAGCCATCATCTGACAGAGCTAAGAATTATGTTGAAGTGAGGCTAGCAACTTGCCACTCCTTCAGTTACAGCAACTGAGCGATTAGTAGGGATTGTGCTAAGAGAAATATACAGGCTTCGAGCCAGTTCTTTGACGTTGTTCCTATTTAGCTCCTTTACATGTTGATTTACATACTCGTGTTTTGAGTATGCTCTATTTTTAGCAGGGTTTCTTTGCCTTTTCGGCATATCATGGAAAGAAGAATGATTGTATTTTGTATTGTATTTTTTTCTGGGAAAGGCTCAATACTTATTATGCTCTATTTTTAGCATGGTTTCTTTGCCTTTTCGGCACATCATGGAAAGAAGAATGATTTTTGTATTGTATTTTTTTCTGGGTAAGGCTTAATACTTATCAGCATCCCCTCATAATGGTGTGCTGAAGCCATTCGTAACTGAGCAGCAGTCGGATGACTGTGATCCTGTCACTGCCCAGTTGTGGATGCCTTCAGTATGTCCTTATATTCAGTCTCTCACAATCTCGTTTTGTACACCTTGCTTTAGAAACACGTTCTGGTAAAGGAATGGTTAAATGTGTAAATAAGAGGGCTTGAATTAAAAGGGGAATCCAAGGGGAAACTGAGGAGTCATTTTTATTCACTGTGTAATGTTATGTTGTTATGTGTCATCAAGTCAGAACTGGACAGGGGGTGTGGGGTGGGGAAGAACTCAAATGAGCGAGTCCCTTTCATGTTTAATGAAAGGACCAGTACAGAAAAGATTTTTTAAAAAAACCCAAAAGATTTTTTAAAAAAAAAAACAAAAGAACCCAAAATGAACCAAACCTGAAAGTTTCCCTCACTAAGACCTATTTAACACAACTGGACTTACGGTACTTGTATGTCCCAGTGGGCATGAAGAAGGATTGCCCTCTAAGTATGTTTGTAAAGGAAATTATTCAGATAAATTCCATTCCCTAAAGTTGTTGAAAACTGAAGGCTCATCTATATGTTAAGATTAATACATCACTGGAAGAAGGAAATCTGTTAGTATTCCAGAGATAAAATTCAGAAAGACCACCATAACTAAACAATCATATTTGCAGATGAAACTGACTTAATGAGCAGTCATAGAACAAAGCAATTTAATCTGCAAACTGCATTAGGTGTGATGACGTCTCCTGTGATAATCAGACATTTTGAGCATTTAAGGAATTCATTCTTCTAATGGCATACTCTTGGTAACATTATTTGACCCTGAAGCACAACTCTAAGATGAAAGAGCTACCACATGCCCCTCTGAAGGGAAAGGAAATGCCAGCGGATTTGATACCAGAGCCACAGGCTAAAAGCACTGCACTGGCCTTGCTATATAACTATATTTTCTTTATCAACCCCATGAGACTCTTTGAAGCAGTCTTCCAGGAAACCCTCCATGTAACCCAAGAAACAGTTCCCAAGTGTTCAACATATTTCCAGAGTTGGTTCTAGACACCAGAGGGGTGCAGTGGCAATTGCAGATTCCACTCCCAACACCCCCTCGACCCAAATCCAGAATCTGCCATTCTGTAAGCAGAAATCCAGTTTTGAACCTCCATATATGAAGCATGAAATGCTATCAATCCATAATACAGTGGGATCTTGACTTGAGAACTTAATCCGTATTGGAAGGCGGTTCTCAAGTCAAAAAGTCTGTAAGTCAAGTCTCCATTGACCTACAGTGCATTGAAAACCGATTAATCCCGTAACAGGCCGTTTTTGTTCCATTTTGGTTTTTTTCTGGTCTGTAAGTCAAATCTCAGTCTGCAAGTCAAACCTAAATTTTGCGGCCAGAGAAGTCTGTAACTCAAAAAGTCTGTAAGTCAAGCCGTCTGTAAGTCAAGGGTCCACTGTACAAATTTCAGACCCTTAAGCATACTCTTAGCTAGTCAACTTGTACCATGAGAGAAATTAAAGAAACGTCTAGATTATAGTAAGCCAGAGAAAGCACAACTACAGTGTTGTTAACATGCCAAAATAGAACTGTATAAGAAAATTTGAGATGGCTAATTCAAAAAATTATACAATTATACATGATAGAATTATAACCATCTGAATTTTATGAATGCCACTAGGCTGAAAATTACCATGTGCTTTAACATCCATCTTTATTCCAGGCTGTTTGAATGGATGCACCACCGCTGATAGCTTAGAAGATTGGGAAAACAATGGTTCCAGGTTAATTGCAACAATATCTTTTCCCGTGTATTTATTGGCTCTCCGGATAGTACCAGTTGCAGAATCAGAATAGTATATGTGGTCAGCAAAAAGAAATATACCATAGACATGGCTTCTGTGAAGAAATAAAACAAATGAGTTGCTCACATTCTGGAAAAAGAAATTCATGTACATTTCATGAAATTGCTATTTGGATATGGTTGCTTACTTGTTCAGTTGAAATCAAGGAAACATAAGTTATATATTACTTTTTTCTGTGATCTTTATTGGACTCAAATACAACTAATTTTCCCTGGATGGACTCTTCAGCATAGTTACTTTTGAAGTATACAATGTATTCAAAATTTAGACAAAACCTTCCAATCCTGTGCATAGAAAGCAGGAAGCATCCAGACTCTGGCTTTAATAACACTATATTGTTTCATTAAAAAAAATTCATTCTTAAAAAAAATCCCTCTTTATTAGCACTATCAACATTTCTTTGTTCAATTTTTTTAAAAAAGATCTGTCGTATCATGCACTAAATTGATATCCTTAGGGGTTTCTGTGCTGCACTAAATACTGACAGAAGCTTCACAGTTCTTCTATCCAACTCACTTTGCTAAGCCAGTATCTGTAGCAGGACTGACCCAAAACATTTTGATGCCTGAGACAAAAACAAGATGGAGGAGCCTCCATTTCACATAGAGAAGTTAACTAGTGCAGTAGTTTATTTACTGTATCTAACACTATCATTGGCAACAAGATAGGATCCCATGATATAGGCTGCAGTCTACTTTAGAGCAATGGCCCCCAACCTTGGGCCTCCAGATGTTCTTGGACTACATCTCCCAGAAGCCTTCACCACCTTAACTGATGGCCAGGATTTCTGGGAGTTGAAGTCGAAGAGCATCTGGAGGCCCAAGGTTGGGGACTACTGCTTTAGAGGGAATACACAGCTTTGACATACAGAGCCGTGCCTTTCAAGAAAGAGAATTGAGATTTGGAAGTGATTTCTGGGAGCTGCCAGTGCTGCTCCTTGCAAGAGCCACCCGAATCAATTGCCTTATTCATTTTGAAGGTGATTAAATCATTTAACTCTAATCTACACCATAATAGGAGAATATTTCCCAGGTTATAAATTGCTCAGAAGAGAAGAGATTACAATTGTACAAAACAAGACATTTGTTTATTGTTTATTAAATTATTGATGTTTCACAGTCTGTCACTATGTAACCCTTGAATATTTCCTGAATGAAATCAAGACTAGTGGCCCATTTGTTGGCACATTCTCCAATTAGGTTTAATCAGCCTATGGAGACATGCATACAGTTTCATATGTAGATCAGGTGGCCCAGGTTTGGAATCATGTATGCAGTCACATTTGCATGTATAGGTTGAAATCTTATAGCTTCATCATTCATGCGGAAGGCAAATGGCATAACATTCAATCATTTCTAGCTAGCAATTAACAAGCCCTCAGTATTAAGCATGCCACAAGCAAGGGGACATATATACACTCAAGAATCCCAACAGTGACCTGTTCATTGCCAGCTAGAAACACTGGATGTTATACCATGTGTCTTCCTTATACATGACAAAGCAACAAGATTTCAACCATTGTTCCTCATCCAGTTCAGAAATCCATATGGAGCAGCCTGCAGCCACACACAAAGAGTTCCTTAATGGGTGAGGCCAGTTTTACATATGCTTGAACAATCTGTATTCTCAGACATACCGTATGATATGCTTGTGTAAATTGACTGAACCACCATCATAATCACAGGCTCCGACATGAGAAATTTCATCATCATCATCCTGAATCCAGAAGAGCCTCCAGTCAAGAAAATCTAGGGAGATGCTTTTAATTTTCCGAGTGCTCCTTAGAATTCTCCTCACTTCTTCTCCATTCAGAACTGATCTGTAAATGCTATCAAAAGGTCCTTCAGAAGACCAAAACAGAAACCTGTGGATGCAATCAGTGATACTATTATTGTTATTGAAAATTCTTTCAAGAACAACCGAATCATAAATTTCTTTCTCAATTCGTTTGTTATTCAACACGGTGTGTTGTGTTTTTTTAAAAAAAATAATATCAGAATCCAGCAGCCATCTTGGTTACCATGGTGACTGGGCAAATCTGGGGGCTGTAGTTTCTGAGCTCTGTCCTTCCCCTGAATTCTGTTCAAGGCTAGTATGCCGGTCCAGATTTTAAAGAAAATTAAAGCAAGCTGACTTCATGAGAGAAGGAAGAAGGCAGGGTGGAAGGAACATGCAAGTACTGGATTCACTAATGAGAGATAACCCTACTGTGCTATTAGGAAGAGTGACACAGCTGTCCCATACCAGCAGTATGGAGGAGAAAACACTGCTGCTGGTGGTGGTGGTGGCATCAGCCTTCCTCTGGCAGTCTTTGATTATTTTTCCTTCTGTTGGATGAAGCTGTGTGTTACATTAGTTGCATGGCCCCTAAGCTAGCCTGCTGCCTTCAGATGCAATGGAGGATTTTGTCTGTTCACTACCATCAATGTTTCTAGCCCAAATGGTTTCTGAAGATGGAGAGAGTGTGTGTGCATGCATGCATGCATCTTGCTGACATTTGCCATATTCAGCAAAATGTTATGATCCATGTTCTTAATCTTCCAAATTGCAAAGGTTCCTTTAAACCACATTACATTAGGATCTATTTATTGGTTGCTCTCTTTACGTCAGCACTGTATTACTGCAATCCATAAAGCTACAATCTAAAGTTACCTTTTGTTGGGATCAACAACAATGCTTGTGGGATGATTGTCATCTTTTACAAGGATTTGGGAAGAGTTTCCATCCAAGTTGATGGCCTCAATGATGGCCTCTTGGTAATGAGCTAGATAAATGTCATGGTTTATCCAATCCACTGCAAGTCCAGAAGCATCTTTTTCTACATAGCGAAGTGTCTGTATCAAAATTATCGTTATTGTTGTTGTAACTATTAGTAGACTGAAACAATAACAATCACTTAACTTTGTTGGTTAGATCACCTGCATGGCAACACTGGATACTTTCACCAAATTACTAATTATTATGACTCATCTTGATTTAAAAAAAAAAAACTCCTAATATCACTCCTATGGGAGCGATTCTCAGCCATCGGTCCTCTCAGTGATTGTTCCTGTACTTCAACAGACACAAAGCCTTGACCACTGTCCATGCTGACAACAGCTTCCAAGAGCTGAAATATCTGGAGGACCAATGGCTGAGAACCACTGGCCTCTGGAACATATCTTTATGCATTCTGTACTGAGATATGAAACAAGGAAGAAATACTAGTATTCCAGTACAAAGCTGAATGTTTTGCATGCTTTTGTAGGTTGTTTCCTCCTTAAGTCGGTCAAGAGAGAGAGAATGGGAAACCAAAGATCCACTAAATCTGAAGTCCTTTTCCTCCTCCATCATCACCTGCTTCTCCTCTTTCTTTTCTTCCACCTTCACTTTGACCTCCTTAGTAATCACCTCCATCTCCTTCATCTCCACCATCACCATCTTCTTTTCATCCAAAGTTTCTCCTTCTTTGTCCACTCTCCCATTGCTGCTGCTACTGCTACTACCACATGTTCATTTTTCCCCCAGATTCTCCCTTCCATTGGTTCCAATCAAAGCTGAAATAAGTATGCCAGTTCCAGGATTGGTGAAGGGCCCCACCCCAGTCTACAAGCATATGGGAACAGGTGCCGTTAGGGGATGGAGATCCAACATATCATCCCTCTTTTTCCCAAGAATGGCTTTTGGTTTCCACCACAGTTAGTAGAGCACCAACACAAGTGCGCAACTGAGTTTTATATAACTGTACCAGGAAGGATTGGGAGGATGGACTTCCTTTTCTTCAAGCAGAGCTTTCTCTTCATGAGCAGAGAAAGAGATCTGCTCTTTCCTATAGCCGTTCAAGCCCTTCTTTACCAGAGACCATAAGTAACTCGTGAAATTTTTGCTATTAAATTTCAGCACCTATAATGTGCAAAACAAACAGACATTTCATCACCTCTCGGTTTGAACCATTCAGGTACACTCGCTGGAGAAATCCTTCTTCAATGTCTACCCAGTAAAGACGTTGTTCTTCATAATGGAAATCAATTAATGTGAACAAGCCAGCATCAGCCACCAGTCTTTTGTGATTAGTTCCCTCTGTATCTATCCTGAAGATGGCATTTCCTTGGCTCAAAACGAGGAATGGTATAGGATCTAAACAGGAAATAAAAACAAGTAAGAAAAAAGTCTGTGATCACCAGCAATGGTTTTTATTAATTAAATAAATCTAATCAAAAGATTTATTTAATATACAAGTTAAATTTTCAACACTATGGAGTTTTTAATGTACCATCTTGGTGTTTGAACTTCCTCTTGATTTTCCTGTTTCAAGATTTTTTTTCCAATTTGAAGATTTAAGAAAATATATGTATTTCAGGAAATGATAATAAATTAAACTTTTATAACTTTGAATATCATTAAAATTAATTGTTCTGAATTCAGAGCCCTATTTGCAATGGGATTCATCGGGATTTGGGCTTTAATTCTGCACCTCAGAAATAGACAATTGTGTCTCTCCACATATTCCTGGTCTACAACTTAAGAACATAAGAAGAACCCTGCTGGATCAGGCCAAGGGCCCACTTAGTCCAGCTTCCTGTATCTCACAATGGCCCCACCAGATGCTTCTGGGAGGAAACAAGACAACTAGATAGCCCCTCCCCTGCATCTGGCATTTTGAAGTATCTTCCTTCTAACCCTGGAGACTGTACATCCCCATCATGGTCCTGGTCTACAACTTAAGAACATAAGACGAACCCTGCTGGATCAGGCCAAGGGCCCACTTAGTCCAGCTTCCTGTATCTCACAATGGCCCCACCAGATGCTTCTGGGAGGAAACAAGACAACTAGATAGCCCCTCCCCTGCATCTGGCATTTTGAAGTATCTTCCTTCTAACCCTGGAGACTGTACATCCCCATCATGGCTTGTAACCTGCAATGGACTTTTTGTCCAGAAATCTGTACAATCCCTACAACACACTGAGTCAAGAAATATTTTCTTACTTTTAATGGCATCTAAGCCAGGAGTTCCACAGACTAACAACACACCGAGTCAAGAAATATTTTCTTTTGTCTCTTCTCACTCTCCCAACCCTCATCTTGAGTGGATGTCCCCTAGTCTTGGTATTGTGCGAGAGGGAAAAGAGCTTCCCTCTATCCACTTTATCCAGCCCCTGCATAATTTTATACATCTCAGTCATGTCCCCCTTCCTCAGGCACCTTTTCTCTAGATTAAAGAGCCCCAAACGCTGTAGCCTTTCTTCATAAGGGAGGTGCCCCAGCCCAGTCATCATTTCAGTCGCTTTCTTCTGCACCTTTTCCAGTTCCACAATGTCTTTTTTGAGATGCAGTGACCAGAACTGTACACAATACTCCAAGTGCAGCCTTATCAGCATTTTGTACAGTGGCAGTATAATGCTGGCTGTTTCTTTTCAATCACCTTTTTAATGATACCCAGCATGGAATTGGATTTTCAATCACCTTTTTAATGATACCCAACATGGAATTGGCCTAACTTCCATCACACTTAGCCAGCACAACCAATAGTGTAGGAGTATGGGAATTATAGGCCAACAATGCCTGGAGAGCACAAGTCCCTTTGGATTCAGTGGGACTTACACCTTAGTAGATATGTATAGGGATGTACTGTTAGATTCAGCACTTGTATTCTAGCTGCCTGCAGCCATGTGGGTTAGACTACAATTCCTGTCTTCCATAGTCTTTTCCCATAGAGGAACAGTCTTGAGTAGCAGCTGCATCTGACTTGAGCACTGATGATGCTCTCCACCCTTTATATCCTCCACCTTATGACCCACTTGAAAGCAGGACGGTTTGTGTGGCACACTAGGTTTTGACCTCTTGCAGAAGGCAATGGCTAGGAAGTAGTGATTGCTGCTCAACCCCAGCATCCTTGACTCGCTATAGTTGCCTCATTCTAATGATTTTAAATCAGTTCCGCTCCACCCTCAGGTCCCACTCACCTATTTTTGGGTTTAAGTTATGTGTTTACTTGTTTGTTGTATTTCTGTTATGCCTTTCCTCCAATAAGCTCAAGGCAGTGCACCCATCTCGCCTTCTCCCCACTTCATCCTAAGAGTTAGATCCGGCTAAGAGATTGCAATTATCCAAGGTTATCCAGTGATTTCCAGAGTCAAGTGGCAGCTTGAACCCAAATCTCCAAAGCCCAGTCCAACACTCCGTCACAGCACACTGACTATGAGTACAATTAGATGAGGAAACAGCTTGCATTTTAGACGACCTGTGGCACAGTCCAGTGCAAGCTATTTGCCGGTGATCACACAAAGCACAAGAGATTGTGGACCAGCCCAACCCTCATCCATGCCCCAGCTGGGCCTGTTTGTTCCAGCAAGAGAGCTACTGTTTTTGGAGGATCAAGCTGGAGCAATTCCCATGTAGACAGAAAGGGTGCTTTAAAGGCGTTGACTTCCAGCAAAATCACCCTTTTCAGTGTGATCAAATGTGATCCTTTCCTGTTATCTGATCACACCCTACTTATCTGGCGATTGCCTTAAATACCACATTAGCTTTTAGTTTTATAAACAGTGGCCAGTGTTTGGTTTATAGCCACCCAAGACAAATACGGCTACCAGATTTCAAGTTTAAATCAATAACCTTTGTTTTGTTGCCTTTGGGATGTTCTATTACATGGGATGCTATTGCATTTGAAACATTCCAATTTTCTGCTGATTTCACAGAGCATATGAGGCTATTTCATCTGTCAGATCTGCTTTGTCTTTGATCTTGCATTGAGCAGGAGGTTGGATTCATTGGCCTTATAGACCCCTTTCTACTCCATTATTCTATGATTCAACCATTATTTTGCAGAAATGATGAATGCAAACTGAACTACAACAAACATTATTTTGTAGAAATGATGAATGCAAACTGAACTACAACAAAAGTAGGTTTGTCTCAGGAATCTACGAGTAACAGCTGCACTCTTGATTTTTTTCCAGTTTCTTCCTTAACCAAGCTTACATTTTGTTAAGTTACCCAGACATGGAATTTCTCACTATGGTAGTCTAGACAAGCAGCACATCAGTACAAAAGGTCATCTTTGTTTGCTACTGGAGCAGTTAACGTGGATTAATGGTTTGTTTATTTGTTTGTTTGTTGCTGCTGCTAGGCTGAAATCAGTTTTATAATTTTGATTTTTCTTGCTACTGGAACAGTTAATGTGGATTAATGGTCTGTTTATTTGTTTGTTGCTGCTGCTATGCTGAAATCAGTTTTATAATTTTGATTTTTATTGTTTGTTCTAACTTTTCGCTGCTAGGCCCATTTGCATGTATAGGAAAAGTAGAATATGAATGTTTAAAATACATACAAATAGTTATGGTGTAGATTAATTTTTTAGCATAAATCCTAGGGAGGACATGCTGGCCAATTAAACCCCTCCTATCTTAAGAGAAACAAGTTAATAATTTGAATATAACCAAGTCACAGGGAATCTAGCTATCACCACTGACTATTCAATACAGAGAGATTGATCATGAACCCTATGAAGAGTATTCCACTATTCAAAGTCAGCCATTTCCCTAGTGAATATTTACCTGCCAAAGGAATTCCCTCAATGCTGATCCACACAATGTTGAAAAGTCCAGAAAACACACATAATCCATAAGGATAATTTCCTCATGACAATTGTTGGTGCTATTTGTCTTTATTTTATTAATGTCTTAATTTTTGTTAAACTATTATTTATTACTGTATGTTTTAACAATTGTTACTAATGGGTTGGTATACAAATCCAATCAATCAATCAATTAATGGGTTGGTATATAAATCCAATCAATCAATCAATAATGCAGGTCTTATTTTCGTGTTCTCTGATTGAGCGTGGCCAAAATCCTGTTGCTAAATGTATTAAATTACACTAGAATAAACCCATTGAATGAATGGGAATTTGGGAACTCTTCCATAAATGCTTATTCAAATGAGCCTACTCTAATTGTGATTTATTTTAGCAGAGTGTCACAATTTAAATAGGCCCATTTGGATCAATAGGACATACAGAGGAGTCGTCTCACCAAATCCCTGCTGATTGAAGTCTAGTGCAATTTACTATGCTTAGCAACGAGATTTTGGCCTATGTATCATCGCTCTTTTAACTATCCCCGTTCTTCAGATTCTGCTGTTCCTCCTCTGACCATACTATTTTCCTCTTCATTCATCCCTCTAAATAAAAAAAAAAATCCTTGTCCAAATGGAACTTGTTTACAGCCTTCCACTATACAAGAAACACAATGTAAAGTTTTGAAAATCCGTTGGCTTCTATCCATAATGCTTTGTTTAAAAATACAACTTATATAAGGCAACCATGTATATACCAAAACCAAATACCTAGGACAATTTAGAGTTAGAAATGCAGTCTCATTTTTGTGTATTGCAATGAAACAGTACAGTGACCTGTGAGGCATTAAAATGTTGATACACATACTGCATTTACCATTTCTGAACATTCACATCGCTAGATGCATGCACCTGAAATGTCCCCTCCTTTTTTTCCTAATGCAGACCCAAAATATTTGTCTTCTCCTGCTTTTGATTTATTTTAACAGGACTCCTAACAGACAAGTTATTAATATCCAAAAGTTTCCTAAACATTTAATGCCATCTCTGTGGTTCTAAATGTAGATGTCTACACTAGTCTTTATCAATGCATGCCATTATCAGTGGCATTGTTTGACTTTGGATTATCTCTCCTCACTTTCCATGACAAGTAATTATGCAGATGATGGCTGGAGATCTAATAAAAATGAAAGGACCTCCCCCTGCCAGAGAGGTACTTCCAGGCTTTGAATCCTCTTGGAGATGAAGATAGAAACTCAATGTTTGCACTGAATAATCTGCAGCAAAAACAATACACAGAATCACCCAGTGCTGAATACACGAGCCAATTTCTTCTAGCCTTGCAACCAGTGCCCATTGTCCTATAATAACTGGAAGCAGACGGCATCCTCTTTGTACTATCTGGAAAATTGCTCATCAAAACATTTCTGTTTAGGTTATCAGAGTTTTTCCATTAGTTTGGGCCAGTTGTGATGGTTCAGCATCTCAACAGCGCACAGATTGCATCTGGCCAATCTGCAGGACCATCAATAATTTCTGGAAATGGTTCAATGAGATGTATCTGAAATTGCTGGCAAAAATCAGCATCATTTATTAATTTAAAGTATTTTGCCCCACCTTTCTCCTTATGAAGGACCCAAGGTGGCTTAAATGACAACATTTAAATTTAAAACAATGAGTATAAAAATATTAAACAGGATCAAACAAACCCCACACAGTAAACAAAAGAAACACTCGAAACACATTCAAAGCAGTAAGGCACAACCATCCATTTAAGAACCCTGCTCAGGCAGCCAGTCACCAAAGGAAAGAGACAGGTCTTCACCTGCTTACAGAAAGTGAGCAGATATGGAGCCTAGCCTACAGAAGCCAGCCTAGTCTCCTGTGGGAAGGAGCACCAAATTCTGGAAACAACAACAGATCCCCTCTCCCTTTGAGTTTCTCCTCAGCACTGGAACATGGTGGAAGATCTCATAGACTTTCTGATGAGCTGGTGGATATTTACAGCCTTCCACTATACACTTTCTTCTGTATTCTTGAATACACTTAGCTTTTAGAAGAAAAAGGAGCAATGGATAGAATTGCCTGCAACTTCTTGGAATCTTTCCCCAAGATGATATTTGTCTTGTCCATGACCTTGACCGGTCCAGTCTTGCTTTTCTGCTTTCTGTTTTCCTCTTCCCTGTAGGTAGTAGGTAGTCCCTGTGATTTGTAGCATTTATGCAATAAATACAGATTTTAGTTGTAAAAGATGCCCATTTTTCTAGATGATGTCATCATCTAAATCAGCTATTCTCAACCATGGTCTTTTTAAGACCTCTTCTCAGGGTCCAGGGCCCCTTGTCAAACAAGGAAAGTCTTTGGCTGTGTACAGACAAGGATACAACATGAGCAGATGAATCTGTGGCCTCCTTCAGATGTGCCAGCCCAACCCCCAACCCCCCGCCAGGGGGCCATATGGCCCCTATTGAGAATGGCTGATCTAGATGACATCAAATATAGTCCACTCAATGACATCACTTGAAAATTGTGAATTATTTTTGGACTTGCAATGTATGTTTAAAGTAGTTTTCCTAAGCAGGTGAGCCAGTGATCTTCTGCTTAACTTCATGTTCTTCCATGCCAGAAGATATACGGCTCAGCAATGTTCCATTAAAAACTGTCCACAGAGACCTGACTGATAAATGCAGATATGCCATGTGTTTTTTTTACTGTGTGCTTAATCTTAGATGATTATGTGAAATACTGCACTAAAAGCATTGTGGACCAGCTGGTGGTACAGAAGTTCCATTTATAATAGTCTATTCAGAAATGTAAGTTATCACCTGATGTCATCAAGGGAATATTTCAGCCCATGTTTTATTTCAGCAGAAATATAGCTGAGTGCTTTCCCCCCCCATATATATTTAAGAATCTTGATTCTTAATTCTTTTTTTAAAAAAATCTGAAAGCTTCTCTGCCCTTGGTCAAATCACTTCAACTGTAGCAAATGTGGGGAAAAAAACAGCATGCAAAACACACTTTTAAATGGAGAAAGTTTACCTATCTTGGGCTATGACAACATTATCAAATACCACACAATTTGCTCCACTTATAAAACAGGTGAATTTGAAGAAGTTGGGTGCTTTTTTTTACTGACCACATGACACAATGGATGATTCGAATTGGTCCAACCCTTTTTGATCCCAAAGCGGCATTTTTTCTCTCTGTTGCTGGAGATCTACTTTGTGTAGCTATTCTGCTTTTTCTTCACAGTAGGTTTTTTTTTCAGGGGGGACATGGAAGGAACAATAGAAAAACAGGACAATGGTCACAAGTGGGAGATGATTATGATGTTTGGACTCACATAATGTTCTGTCTTTGAGGTGGGTCAACTTCTACAATAAGCCTTGATGTAGAAACACCCACAGAACCACCCGTTTTAAACAACAATGAGCAACACTACTGTACAGAAGTCTCCCTGTTCCTTAATGGCTAATAGCATTCAAAACCTGTCAGAAACCAAGCCACACTCATCATCTGCCTCCTTTACTTCAAAAGTCGGGCAGTAGCCATCTTGCTGCAGCTGCTCCAGATATCCTGGCAACTATTTCCCTGCAACAAGAACTTTCCCTGTGTTAAATAAATCCTCTTAAGAGAACACAAAGGCTGCCTACAATGCTCTGACAGGCACCACTGAATGGAAGAATTAGGCTGTGCTCAGAACTCAAAGGCCCCTTTATGCCATCCCAGCAGAGACAGTCTTGAGAATGAGTCAAATCCATGAATCATGTCATTTCAACGCTTGCAGTTCAGTCTCAGAGCCGGTAAAGACGGGCAACTTCATTTAGCTAGAGTCCAAAAAAAGAACCCCAGTTACAGAAGGTGACGCATTAGCATGCAAGGCAGGGAGGCAGGGACCATTTTGTTTGTACTGTGAATTGAGTCACAGTCTGCCTTAGTTTGTTCCTTCCTTGCTTTTATCAGTTCTTGAAGGCCATCTAGCTATGATGAGGATAAATAAACCTAGTTATTTGGAAGTGTGAGAAAATACATCTGAAAAGAAGTGTGAATGGTAGCCTTTTGTCTTTTAAACATAACGTATTTTCAGCACACATTGTCAGTTGTGTCATCACAATAGGACACTGGAACATAAGCCCATAGTTCAACTTACAAGAATGAGAAGGAATTCCCTGAAATGCAGCGGGGTCATCCTGCCATATTTTGGAAGAAAGGAAAATAACAAACATTGCAATTTGTGTTGTGAGGCTAAGGCCATTTGGTCCAGTTTCTAAAATTACCTAAATGCATATTTACTGTTTAAGACAGAAAAGAGAGAGGGCATGCAAGAATAGTATAAAGCTAGTAGAAGAACCAAATTGTTTGTTCATAGTTTTTAACACTCAAATTAATAAAACTGGAACTGCCTGGTTGCAAAATGATATTTTGCATTTTTCACACTTGTTTGTAGAAGCATGTGGATCTCCGCCCAGCCTTGTTCATGTTTAACCAAGTCTGCCACTTGGATGTTGCTGCCAAAGATGGACAGAAGGAAAAACTAGAATAATTATGTGGTGTGTAATAGAAATAGACTTTGCCAACTACTGTTCCTAGATTGGGGATGGAGGAGGGATCGTGATTATTAAAGTGGTGACAAATCAATTTACATTTGCAGTGCAGATATCTTGAATGTTAAAATAAGTATGTGCGCAAACAGCAACGGAACTTCCTCAATGTTGTCCCAACCCAATTGTTAGGTACTTCCTAGTGTGATATGAGACTGAGTGTTGAATTCTTTCTGAGATGCACTCACAAAATCTTGAACTGCAAAACTGAATGTGTCTGTACAAAGTAGGAAATCCAGCTTTAAACTACTGTACATTATGGCCAACACATAATTCTCATTTAAATCACACCAGTGCTTTACAAATGCGATTCCAACAGACCTTCAAGACTGAGAAACTAGACTGTCAAACAAAGCCCATATTTACATCCAAACTAATTTGCAAGTTATAGGAAGTGAGGAAAGTTCCTGCCTCAGGACTTTAAAAATTCATCTCTATAATGTATACAGTAGTTTGACCCTGAAAAACATAAGGGTATGTTGGTAATGGAGGCTTTAAGAACACAAAAGGAGATAAGCAATTAAACTATGTCATTATTCTTTCACTGATTCAGTGAACCTTGGAATAAATACATTTCAGAAGTGGAGCTCATTAGGCTCATGAAATTTATTCCCAAATAAATATGTAAAGGATTGCAGATGATGCCATTCAGATTTACACTACAGACAGAAACTGACTTAACAGTCATTCCCTTTGTAGCTTTATGGGCAAAAGCTAGAGACCTCTTGATTGATAATTATCCTCACCAAATCACAATCCCCATGATCCTTTGAGGAAGGCAAGGACAGGGGAAGTAGTACAAACAAACCAATCCTGATATTCTGGAACAATCATGTTCAACAGATTGGGATAGAAATAATTGCAATAGTGTATTTAACTGGAAGTAGTTATTTGGGGGATGCATATGCAACTACCTTCTGTGAAATGTGATACTGTAATCAGTACTAAATGTCTGCAATTAAGTCTCAAAGAAAAATTCACTATGCCTGTTCTCCCTTTTTTGTTAATTTGTTTGTTTGTTTATAAGTTTCTTGGCAGAAGTCTCAATGCACCTGCTATTGTTCTTTTGGAATGTTATCACAAGTGGAGTCCCCCCCCAAGCTCCAAATGGATTTTTAATTTCTTAATGTGTATGCCAAACGTACAAAGGCTCATGCAGAGTACTTATAAATTAAAAGTGTGAACCCAGGTGGATGTTTTTACTACTGCTATTGCTATAGTTGTTGAAATGTTTGCATGCCTTTCAACTGATCCAAAAAAGTTCTAGTCTAAAGAAAAACAAAGGCACTCACCTCTGCAAGACACATCTTCCTTCCACGTCTGATGTCCTCTTGGACAGCTCCAGGGCTCCAGAGAAGACAGGCTCACCAAGTGGATTTTAAAAACCACGAGTAAAAAAATTGTGAGAAAGAAAAACATAGTCTCAAAACTTTTTCTTGAATGTCAGTTGATGAAAATAGCTGGTTTGCCTTCAGCCACATCCAGGAGAAGAAGTACAACAAGAAGAAGGAAACATAATCTCCAAAGGTAGGTGTTTATCTATAAAACTAGTGAATGACAAATATCTTTCCCTAAGCTTGATCTTCTCTACTTCTTCCTTTGCTTGATATTCAAGCACTAAGGTGCCCAATACTGTCAGCAGTGACCCTTGGGGAAAAAAAATTCCAGGATGATCTCTTCTGTGTTCACACACTCTCTCTTACTCTCTTCCCCTCCCCTCCTTCTTGGGGTTGAGGGGGTTTTTAAGCCAAGTATGAAATGCCTGACCCACTTGTTACAAATTTTGCATGGCTTCAACCCAAAGATCACAGGCACTGCTTCAAAACTCCAGCGCTAAAGCAAAAGTGGTGAATGTGTTGTCGCTGTTATTGAAAAGCACTAATTGAAGAAAGAAAAATAATCTTCTGGGACATGATTGGAAATAATGCACTTCAATTAGGCAGGTGCATTATAGTTGGGGGGGGAAGGAACCCACAGATCACATTTTAGGCATGCACCAGAAAAACTTTCTTTTTCTTTCTGCAGCTTGTTTTCTCCAGCCCACCCTTTCTTCCCTTTTTAGTGCCACTTGAGTGAAGCTAGTGTTTGCAAACAGAAATACAGGGAAACTAGCCAAATGCAGCTATCTGATCACCCCCAGTTAATAGTCAGATATTTTACGAATGAAAGATGAAATAAATCTTGCTGTCTGCTCTACAGTACTTTTAGTGTTTTAACCTTTTGTTTGTTTGTTTGTTTGTTTGTTTGTTTGTTTGTTTGTTTGTTTGTTTGTTTGTTTAACTTAAATGCCTCCCCCACTAATGAAAGGTCTTGGACAGCTTACAATAATTTAAATACTGTAAAAAAGATAGAACAATTAAAATATATACTCTAAAAATTGCCATCAGGACCCACAGTTGATATTATTTCAATTAAAAGCTTTTTGGAACAGGAAGGTTTTGATCTGGCATTCAAATGTCATCAACGTCGGTGCCAGACAAATCTCAGTTGGGAGGGCATTCCATAGTCTGGGGGCAGCTGCTGAAAAGGCCCTTTGTCTTCAAGCCATCCCTCTTACAGTACCTCCTTGAGGAATGGCTCTTTAAAAAGGCCCTCCTGGCTAGATCTTAACTGCCAGGTAGGCTCATCTGGAAAGAGGCAATCCTTCAGGTGTCCAGGGCCCAAGTCGTTTAGGGCTTTATATGTCAAAACAAGCACTTTGAATTGAGCCTGGGCAGCAACTGGTAGCCAATGTAATTTAAACAGAATTGGCTCGATGTGTCCCCTAGCAGCCCCACCACTCACCAGCTTCGCAACTCAATTCTGGACCAGTTGCAACTGCCAGACTGTCTTCAAAGGCAGCCCCACATAGAGTGCGTTGCAGTAATCTATACAAGATGCTATAAGTGCATGTGTAACTGTCATGAAACTCCACTCATCCAGGTAGGGCCATAGCTGGTATAATTTCTGCAGCTGAAGGAAGGCGCCCCTATCAGTGCATGTGTAACTGTCATGAAACTCCACTCATCCAGGTAGGGCCATAGCTGGTATAATTTCTGCAGCTGAAGGAAGGCGCCCCTGGCCACCGAGTCCACCTGGGCTTCCAGAGTTAGACTGGGGTCCAGGAGCATCCCCAGGCTGTGGACCCTGTCCCTTAGGGGGAGTGTAACCCCATTCAGGGCAGGGAAATGGCCCTCAAGCCTGTCCTGTGAAGCACCCGCTAATAGCACTTCCATCTTGTCTGGATTGAGCTTAGGGGGAGTGTAACCCCATTGAGTTTCAATTTAGTAACTCTCATCCAGTCCATTTTCAAGTCCAGACACAAGTTAAGCAAAGAAACTGTCTCACCTGGATTGGTGGAAAACAAGAGCTAGAGCTGAGTGTCATCACCATATTGCTGACTCCTCAGCCCAAACCTCCTGATGACCTCTCCCAGCAGTTCCATGTAGATGTTAAACATTTAGCATTTGGATCAAAATTTACATGTTGCATTTACATCTGCTGGAAATTCCATGTAGATATTAAACATTTAGCATTTGGATCAACATTTACATGTTGCATTTACATCTGCTGGAAAACGTGAGTGCTGCCACTTAGACATACCTGCACAACAACCCTATGAGGCAGGCTAGAATGTAGGACAATGATTTGCTGCCTAAGACCTTTCCATTAGCTGCCTTGCTAGGGAAGACATCTGAAGATGGTATTAGCCAATAACACGATTACAAAGTAATAATGTAATCATGAGTGCACAATTCAGCATCTTGAAAATCTAAGCATACATTTTAAAGTGGGAGACTCTTTCTAGCTACAATTCAGTTCGATCTTGGTGATACCAGTTGGGAATATTATAGTGTTTGATTCTTCTGCTGAAGAATCAGCAGAATAAATTCAGAATTCAGAATTGATTCAGAATTCAGAACTGATTCAGAATCAACAGAATTGAAGACAATGGCACACAAAAGCCCCAAAATGTTATATGTTGTTGGCACCCGGAAACAAGGACAGTGCTTTAACCGACAAACCATGGCCAAGATAGCAGAGTGGTCCTATCCACTTAGAACCAGAGGTTGCCCCTCATAATGGGCCTGAGAGATGTCAGATCTCTCAGCCAAGTCACAGGGATTGATATTCCACATTTCCTGGACAGGACACATGTTGCAAGCTGAATTGTGTTTGAGGAGATAAAAATTGCATTCATGGTTGTGATGCAGATTTAAAGCTCGATTCCTATCCCAACTTGTTCCTAGCTGGTGCCTGAGCTCAGCACAAAGGTATTGGTATGTGTGCTGCCCTTGCACATGTCTGTCAACATATGAAAAAGCCAGGAGTGAAGGCAGAATACCAGGAGAATGCTGCTATGTGCATGCACTTTGGCCAGTATGGAGCATGGAGGAGAGCAGAGCACCAGCACCATGACTCATGAGAGCCTTTATGCTGCATAAGCCCTTACAGGAATAGCACCTGGAAAGTCCCTTCATGGCCTACAAGAAATCCCTTCAAGGCCCAGCAGCAACATACAACTTGGATAAATTTCCCTCATGTCATCAATCCTGCAAATAAGACCATGCAGGATAACAAGTTCTTGTGGGAATGGCAACAGCTTCTGCAGTTGTTGGGCATATTTTCCTCCTGTGTGGCTACACTGTGCTTGTTTACATGATCAGATGGCTGAGAAGCAGTTCTAGCCACCCTCCCAACCCTTGCATCCCCTACTTCTATGAATCCAAAAGACTTGCCCCAGGCCTTGGATTTTAACCCTGAAGTCTCAGGACATTTATTTATTTGTTTGTCCATGAGTCTGTCTGTCCGTTTGTCTTATTTATATGCCACCTTCCTCCCGGTAAAGGGACTCAAGATAGCTCACAATATTAAAAAGAACAGAATTAAAAACACTGTAGGTTATTTTTTTTAAAAAAACCCTATAAAACTGATAAAAATACCTTTGAATGATTAAAAACATGTAAACCGTTAAAAACCACTTTAGTTTTAAAAATGGCATTCACATCATTCAAGATTTTGTCTTGATTGTTAAAAGCCTGTCTGAAAAGGCTGTCAGCAGAAAGACAAAAGGGATGAGTCCAGCCTGATCTCCAAAGGCATCCTTCAGTCTCAAGAGACTATGGTAACATGCTCTGAATAGAGGACTTGGAACAGCATCTAGTGTGGCTGAGAAGGCCAATCGAGAGTGACAATCCCTTCCACACTGAAGACAAATACAGTCTATCACCTGTCCAGCTCCCTGATTTTGCTGGTTTCAGGACTGCCTCTTTGCCTCGGCCTGCTGGACAAGTGTCTCTCCAAATTGTGAGAGGCCGTGATGCACCACCTGCCTCTAGACTGAACGCTCAGATGTCAAGGTTTCCCATCTATTGAGGTCCATTCCTAAGGCCTTCGGATCCCACTTTCAGATATCCTTGTATCGCAGCTGTGGTCTTCCTCTGGGGTGATTTCCCTGCACTAATTCTCCATACAGGAGATCTTTTGGAATGCGACCATCAGCCCTCTCCTGCCATTCACAAAGGATCCAGGACTCACTGCAGTACAGGAGTGTGCTCAGAACACAGGCTCTATAGACCTGGATCTTGGTATGTGTCGTCAGCTTCTTATTAAGCCATACTCTCTTTGTGAGTCCACAGAACATGGTAGCTGCTTTGCCAATGCGTTTATCCAGCTCAACATCTAGGGAGAGGGTGTCAGAGATCATTGAGCCAAGGTACACGAAGTCATGAACAACCTCCAATTCTTGTGTGGAGATGTTAATAGTGGGAGGTGAGTCCACGCCCTGGCCCATGACTTGTGTTTTCTTCAGGCTGATTGTTAATCCAAAGTTTTGGCAGGCTTTGCTAAAAGGATTCATGGGTTGTTGGAGGTCTTCAGCAGAATGGGCAACAACAGCTGCATCATCGGTGAAGAGGAAGTCCCGCATGCATTTCAGCTGGACTTTGGACTTTGCTCTCAATCTAGAGAGATTAAAGAGCTTTCCATCTGATCTAGTCCAGAGATAGACACCTTCTGTTGAACTTCCAAAGGTATGCTTCAGCATGACAGCAAAAAGGATCCTAAAAGGGTTGGTGCAAGGACACAGCCCTGTTTCACTCTGCTTCAGATGTCAAAGGAATCTGATGTTGAGACATCAAAAACTATAGTGACCTTCATTTCCTCATGAAAGGACCTGCTGATGTTAAGGAGTCAAGGTGGACATCCAATTTTGGGTAGTATTTTAAAAAGGCTGTCCCTGCTAACCAAATCAAAGACCTTTGTAAGATCTATGAAGGCCAGAGGCTCTATGGCTGAAAAATTCTGGGAACTACCATCCATAAAACATTTCCAAATTGTGCCCAAAACGTATTTGTTCTAGAATGGAAAATGCTTCTTTCTGTCTTCCTAGATTGAAATCTAAGAATTAGACAATTGAATCAGCCTGAAACCTAAACATGACTTGAATTCATCTGTTGGCCTGATTTGTTCACATCTAAAGAAACAGCTTGGTGAATTACTTTGTTTGAGAATATTTTGCACAAAAAATGAAATCTTGGATTGGGTATTATATCATTAATTGAGATAGAGTGTCATTGCTCAAGACAGCAGCTGGTAATCCTGGCAGCACCTAGAAATCACCACAGTTGTGTACATGGAATCCATTCCTAGGAATTCTGACCATCTTGGCTGAAATTGACAAGAGCTGATAGAACTGAAGTCTTGGAAAATACACAGCATGAAATACAGATTAGGAGCTAAATCATTCTCTCCACTCCAAAGAACAAATGCCTGAAATCCTTTCCTTGGTGTTTACAAATCTATGCATAGTAACCTCCTATTTGCTTTATATACTCCTTCCATCAGATTAAAGATGCCAAAGAAAAACTAATTATAGCATCTCTTGCTCAAACTGTACGATAAATTTAGAATGTTGTTAGAAGTGGAGCCTTCTTAGTGGTCAAACTACATGTTAAAATAAATAGCATACTTACAAAGCTCCTATGATCAGAAATCTGTTGATGTGGGGCTCCTGATCACATGGGCACTATAAGTATAGTCAGATAAATATACCTACAGTCCCTT